ACAAGTTTAATAACATGAATTTTAAAGAGCACCCATCACCTTGAATATCACACTATCTGGAATAAAAGCTGCTATACTGTACTTTCATGTTTTCCAGAAAGAAAGAAAAAAAAGGAATTGCAAACTTCTGAGTTTGAATTTGAGTCTTGTGTTTGGTTTGCACATGGTTGGTGGAAAAAGTCGCTGATAGAGAAATTGGTGTTTGTTCCCTTCTGAAAGGGGAAACCAAGAATGGAACCTTTGCAATGTGTACTTCTCTGTTCAGCTATAAAACTTCACCCAGCTGCTGGCTTTGCAGCCTAACCAGACCTTAAGAGGAATGAATTCCTGTGGAATCTCTCAAGAACAATCCGATTCAGCAAGATGTCTTGTCAGCCTCCAGATTATCACATCAAAAAGCAGGTCCCCTGCTGCTTTCAATTTTTTATTTAGAGGACATTTCAGCCTTCTTTCAGCTTTGCAACATACATTCAAAGGTGGTTGGCACTGAATAATGTAGGTCCGCCTTTCTCAACCTTGAGTTCCCAGATCTTGTTGGACTACAACTCCCATCATCCCTCACCACTGGCCCTGCTAGCTACAGATGATGGGAGTTGTAGTCCAACAAGATCTGGGGACCCAAGGTTGTGTAAGGCTGCTTTAGGTGGTAAAATGTGGTTTAAGCACCAGCTCACCTATGAAGTCAGGCCTTGGAACAGGGATGGAGAACCTGTGGTCCTCCAGATGTTCTTGAACTACAACTTCCATCACTGCTGACCAATGACCATGTTTGCTGGGTCTGATGGGAGTTGCAGTCCAGCGACATCTGGAGGGGCCACAGGTTCCCCATCCTAACTGTTCTGCAGCTTCATTGATAAAAGTGGTGTGGCACCTAGCTCCTATGAACTCCTGTGAAGTTCTTGACTTTTAAAGCCTATTCTTCAGCTGTTTATATTCCACTATTTGAGTTTAGCAGGTCTCACCGCATCCATATCGCAGACCTAATTGCAGGCAAGAATGTGTAGGACAGCATTGTTGTACAATAAGATGAGTCAATCAAGTGTTCTGCTCTTGTCTCAAACAGAACAAGAGAATGGTATAAGAGCCAATGTTTGTATGTTGGATGGGAAAGAAGCAGCACATCATTCATTTGAATAGTTCCCTTCACATGAAAGGGCCATGGCTCAGTGGAACAGTGTCTGCCTTGCATGCAGAAGGTTGCAGGTTCAATCCCCAGTATCTCCAGTTAGGGTTGGGATAAAACTCCCTGGCTGAGACCTGCAGCTTCTTCTAGTGTTCCTGGTGAGCACTGGCAGGATTGTAGGCAAGGAGAGACAGAGACAGTGAAGGGGTAACTCTCATGTGCTTGGCATGAAATTTATTCCAGGCCCAAATGTCTCCCTGAGGAAGGACTTGTTCTGAACCATGTTGAGCCCAGGATAAATTTTGTTTTCAGCCCCTAGTTTATTTTATTCATTTGCCTGCCATTTGTACTTTCCCGGTTTTGCGGCTGGTTGTCTGACAGGATTGTGGCCAAAAGGGAGAAACGAGAGAGAGGTGACAGCTTGCCCTGGTAAACTCTGAAATGCAGAAAATCTTCAGGGGAAAAGATTAAGGGTGCAACCCCTCCCCACACTCCAAAAGATGAAGCAGCAGCCCATGGAGGGCTGAGAATGCTCAGTGGCCATACAGTACTGACCAACTGTTCAATGGGAATGGAATAACAAGAGGGAGGAAGAATGGCGTATCCTGGAAATGGGCAGGACCGGCAGAAATGCTGAAGAAGAAGAAGAGTTTGGATTTGATATCCCTTTAAGGAGTCTCAAAGTGGCTAACATTCTCCTTTCCCTTCCTTCCCCACAACAAACACTCTGTGAGGTGAGTGGGGCTGAGAGACTTCAGAGAAGTGTGACTAGCCCAAGGTCACCCAGCAGCTGCATGTGGAGGAGCGGAGACGCGAACCCGGTTCCCCAGATTACGAGACTACCGCTCTTAACCACTACACCACACTGGCTCTCACCATACTAGCTCTGAACAGGAGCCCTCAACCCTGCACTTAACACTTCCTTAATGGCAGTCCTGAAGATACAATCACCCACAACACTTTGATCTTATGGTAGCTATTTTAAATTAAAAATAGCCAGTGCGCTTTCTTTTTTTCTTTAAAGATATGTTTAGGGGTACTCTCATTTTGACTCAAGAAAATCACATTTTATAGCTCAAATCAGGGGGAATAAATACAGTGGTACCTTGGTTTGCAACCATTTTGGATTACAACCACGTCAAACCCTGAAGTGTGTCCCCCTTTTTTTGGATTACAACCCATTTTTATTTTTTCTTTCTGGAGGCCCCATTGGCGAAAGTGTGTCTTGGGTTACAAACTGTTTTGGTTTACAACAGGACCTCCGGAACAGATTATGGTTGTAAACCAAGGTATCACTGTACAGAGAATGGACAAAAGTACAAAGATTCACACAATGTTTAGGGGTATGCGTACCCCTGAGTCTCCCCCCCCCAAAAAAAGCACTGGAAATAACTATCTTGTGTGGGTCTGTGGGTGGGAGTGTGAAAGTGTAACAAGGTGGCGAATAGGTGCTACAGTGGTACCTCGGGTTAAGTACTTAATTCGTTCCGGAGGTCCATTCTTAACCTGAAACTGTTCTTAACCTGAAGCACCACTTTAGCTAACAGGGCCTCCTGCTGCTGCCGCGCCGCTGGAGCACGATTTCTATTCTCATCCTGAAGCAAAGTTCTTAACCTGAAGCACTATTTCTGGGTTAGCAGAGTCTGTAACCTGAAGCGTATGTAACCCGAGGTACCACTGTACTTGCTTCACCCGCAAGTCCAACTGCAAAGCCAGGAGTTAGGGCTGCTGTGCATTTTCTTTCTGTGTTTCATTGGGCTAAAAACCAAGTGGTCTGATTTAACCCCATTTCAGTCTAGGACAAGGAGCACTTGTGCTGTGCGATGGTGGCTGGTTCTCTCTCTCTCTCTCTCTCTCTCTCTCTCTCTCTCTCTCTCTCTTGTCATCTATGCCAAGCAGAGTTTCCTTTGCCAAGTGCCCAGCCCGCTGTTGGGGAGCAACTGCTGCACTTTGGACTTCTGTCTGTGGAGAGGAATGATTAATTCCCAGACCTAAGGAAAGAATTTCCACTTGGTTGCAGCAGCTTTGCTTCTTCACCTATATTTGTGGCAAGAATGGATTTGAGGGAGGAGGAGGAGGAGGAGGAGGAGGAGGAGGAGAAAGCCATGCAGAGACTGGGGCTGGTTTGCGGGGGCAGTTGACGCTGGAAATAAAGTCTAGGCCCTGTTGCCAAAATGCTTGGTCTGAGACCACTGGTGGTGATTTAGGGTCCCGTCTGCATTATGCATTTAAAGCAGTATCATACCACTTGAAACAGTTTTGGCTTCCCTGCAAAAAACTGGAGGGCTGTAGTTCGTTATGGATTCTGGAGAACTGGTAAGAAACCCCTATTCTCTCAGCGCTACCATTTGCAGTGTGATTTAACAATCCATTTTCACAGGGAATTGGAAAATGGAAAGGTCGGCGGTTCGAATCCCCGCGGCGGGGTGCACTCCCGCTGCTCGGTCCCAGCGCCTGCCAACCTAGCAGTTCGAAAGCACCCCCGGGTGCAAGTAGATAAATAGGTACCGCTCCAGCGGGAAGGTAAATGGCGTTTCCATGCGCTGCTCTGGTTCGCCAGAAGTGGCTTAGTCCTGCTGGCCACATGACCCGGAAGCTGTACACCAGCTCCCTCGGCCAATAAAGCGAGATGAGCGCCACAACCCCAGAGTCAGCCATGACTGGACCTAATGGTCCCTTTACCTTTACTATATTGCAGATGGGTCCTTGCTACATACAAAGCTACTCAGTGGTAGCTTAACAGAAGAGCTATGTGGGCACAACAGTTAAACCATGGAGGCTACCATCTACATTATCCCTGTTCATTGGCCATGCTGTCTGGGGGTGATGGGAGTTGGAGTCCAACAACACCTGGAGGGCACCCCATTGGTTACTCCTGCATCCAATGGTGTGGAAGGTAACACCCACATAGTTAAAATATGGAGGGCAGGTGTGTGCATGAAGAACTGTTTGTAGTTTGGAACAGACTCTGAAAGAGAGGGAAGAGTCATGAGAAGGCTGTGGTCTTTGTGGATATTTATTTGGGGCTGTGGATCTTCTGGCTATAGGAGTATTGGCTGTCTACTTCCACTTATGCTCTGCTTGTTATTTGTAAATGAATAAAATGTTACCCCAAAGATGACTGTAACTCTCCAGGGCAAAGGGAACCAGATTCCAGAATTCATTGCCCCTGGAACCTCTTGCAACTAGGGTGTGCTCAACCAGGCCTGGCCTGAGAAAATTTGCTCCTGTAGGCAAAATGCTACAATGATGCCCATCACCTGTAGATCTGGGTCTCCTCTCTCCTCCCACCGCAGTGCCTGAGCTGCTGCCAGAACTATCACCACAACTGTACCCTCATCTGCAGTACCTGCATGGCTGCCACAACGCAGCCGCAGGGGCGTAGCTGTAGCGGTGAAGGCAACAAGGCTGTGTTAGTGGTTTGGACCAGGCATAGGCAAACTTGGCCCTCCAGATGTTTTGGGACTACAACTCCCATCATCCCTAGCTAACAGGACCAGTGGTCAGGGAAGATGGGAATTGTAGTCCCAAAACATCTGGAGGGCCGAGTTTGCCTATGCCTGGTTTGGACAAATCCCCATCAGGGCTGGCAGCACAACAGCAGGAGCGGGGCTCGGATCCGCCGCCTGAAGCAAATGGCTTCACCTTGCCTTATGCACGGGCCACCCCTGTGCGCAACAGCAGCAATATAATTCAGCTCTTACTACTCCTACGTATATTCATAATCACACTGTCAGCCGTTGATATATTACAAGGCACAATTAGAATGCAATTTGAGCTCCAGTTGCTTATGGAATGTAACCAAAAATGTACACATTAACTTGAGCACTTTTTAAGCAAGGAAGCCAGAGGCAGAAAGATATCCCAGAAGGGGAAATGGCAGTGCATCCCCTGAAAGCACCTGATTTATTTTTATTTCTTAAAGGTTTAGGTGCTTTCTGAAGATCTGGAGACTCTGACCCAAGGGGATATAATTTGTCCCTTTGGATGTGTGATTTGCTTCTTGCATATTTGGCCATTTGAAGATCACAGTTGGGCAATGTTTTGGGCATCCGCCTGAGTTTTACAGAAGCCAAGGAAGCTCTTTTGCCCAATTTCCACAGCAGCTTGGCAAGACCCCTGACCCTATTAGCTGGAAGGTGGGGCTTGCTTGCGTTACTGTCTGGGGCAAGACTTCTCTCTGTCAGAGCTGAGACAGCACTGCTGCACGTTCTCCACTCCTGGCACCTTGCTAAAGGCTGTTTGACTTGTGAAGCCGGTGAGTACCGTTCTAATATACCGTATTTTTGGCTCTATAAGACTCACTTTTTCCCTCCTAAAAAGTAAGGGGAAATGTGTGTGCGTCTTATGGAGCGAATGCAGGCTGCGCAGCTATCCCAGAAGCCAGAACAGCAAGAGGGATCGCTGCTTTCTCTGCACAGTGATCCCTCTTGTTGTTCTGGCTTCTGAGATTCAGAATATTTTTTTTCTTGTTTCCCTCCTCCAAAAACTTGGTGCGTCTTATGGTCTGGTGCGTCTTATGGAGCGGAAAATACGGTAGTTACTGCAAAAAGACACCTATGTAGTGGAGATGCCGATATGCAGTATGTGACTTCTGGAGGCTCCTTCCTGGAGCCACTCTACGCAATGTAGATTAAGGCTGCAATCTTTTCAGGCTCCCTATAGGCACCTGGTGGTCCACTATGAAAATACTGGACATTTGTGGCAGTGGTCTGATCCAGCAGAATCGTCTTACCTTCTTATGCTCAGATGCATCTTTTTATTTCGATAGTCCACTAAAAAAAGAAAAGATGTTTGAGAACTTAGGTAAAGGTAAAGGTACCCCTGCCCGTACGGGCCAGTCTTGACAGACTCTGGGGTTGTGCGCCCATCTCACTCAAGAGGCCGGGAGCCAGCGCTGTCTGCAGACACTTCCGGGTCACGTGGCCAGCGTGACAAAGCTGCATCTGGCGAGCCAGCGCAGCACACGGAACGCCGTTTACCTTCCCGCTTGTAAGCGGTCCCTATTTATCTACTTGCACCCGGGGGTGCTTTCGAACTGCTAGGTTGGCAGGCGCTGGGACCGAGCAGCGGGAGCGCACCCCGCCGCGGGGATTCGAACCGCCGACCTTTCGATTGGCAAGCCCTAGGCGCTGAGGCTTTTATCCACAGCGCCACCCGCGTCCCGTTTGAGAACTTAGCCTGTCACAAATTCAGAACTGAGTGGTTAAAAAAGAAAAGAAAGTAGGTAAAATGTTGATTGTACCAAAATTCAGGAAGGAAGCAAAAATTGTGAGCAGGAATGGGTGAGAATTTTTTATTCGCTTTGCGTTGCATTTCACTTACTGAAATAACATGCAAAACGAAACACAGCTTCCCTTCAGCGTTCTCACTGCTCTGTATTTTGCAGTGCAAGTAATGGGTGCAAAAAATACATCTATTAAGGTAGAATTAAAATGCATGTATTTTGTAATTGTTGTTATGTATTGGAAATCAATAAAGCTATATATATTTATTTTTAAAAAGAAAGAAATGAACAAACCTGTCCCTCCCCAAGGGCTGCTTTTGATTCTATTAACAGGGAATAACTGCGACTTTAAATTTCTGAATGCAAATGTAATGTGTACTTGAGAGCATGAGAAAAAAAATAAACTGTGTTTCCCACATTGTTTGAGGGATAATTGCACGTTTATTGCATGTGTAATTATATGTAAAGATCCCCAAGACAGCTGTTTTCCTCATTGAGTCCTGGCACCCAAAGCCGCTTTTCCTGTGTCAGGGTTGAAGTTCCAGGATTGTACAAGCTTAGACTCTTCTGAGGGCTTCCTAAGAAACCACACGGGAAGAATCTCTTGCCTTTGCGCTGCGGATTAATTTGTTCTTTGCACTTTAGTTTACAGGCTAATGCAACGATGGCAGCCAAAAGCAAGCAGCTAATGCAGAACGGAACCCCTAAGGTAAGTGCGTGGGCGGAAATCAAGACGGAGAAACTTGTTCCCTAAAGTGAGAGGATTTATGACGGCTCAGTGCATTTTGAAACACAGGCTCCTTCAGAAGCGACCTTGAACTTTCAAAGTCTGCAGAATGATTGAAGCAGCTTGCACAAATGTTGCTGCTGGCCTGACAAAGCTCCAGTCACTTGTGGGACAATTGTTGTTCCTAAACTGCCCTCAGACGCAGGTGGCACTGTGGGTTAAACCACAGAGCCTAGGACTTGTCGATCAGAAGATCAGAAGGTCAACGGTTCGATTCCCCGCAACGGGGTGAGCTCCCGTTGCTCGGTCCCTGCTCCTGCCAACCTAGCAGTTCGAAAGCATGTCAAAGTGCAAGTAGACAAATAGGTACCGCTCCGGCGGGAAGGTAAACGGCATTTCCGTGCACTGCTCTGGTTCGCCATACGCAGCTTAGTCATTCTGGCCACATGACCCAGAAGCAAACGCCAGCTCCCTCGGCCAATGAAGCGAGATGAGCACCGCAACCCCGGAGTCGGCCACGACTGGACCTAATGGTCAGGGGTCCCTTTACCTTTACCTTTTAAACTGCCCTCAACCTTCTACATTCACTAATTCATTCATTCATTCTGTTTACCGTATTGGCCCAAATATAAGCCACACCCGAATATCAGCCACAAATTAAGGGAGGGGGAGAGAGAAAAAAATAATAATACCCAAATAGAAGCCACTTTATTCCTTACTGCTCCTGGCTGCATACTTGGGGTGGGGGGAGCCATGCTGTGTTGCCGGCGGCCTTTCCCCTTCCTTCCTCGCTCTCTCCATTCCCGGCCTTGGGGAAAAGGATGGGGGACTACACGCGGGGCGGGCGTTGCTTTGCCGAGCTCCTGGCACTGTTTGCCCCGCACTCCTGGATGCATACCGCAAGGTCGCAAATATAAGCCGCACTTTAACTTTTCACGGTTGGAATTGGGGGGGGGGGGTGAGGCTTATATTCAGGCCAATACTGTATTTACTGCCTTTTCTCCAATGAACTCAAGGCAGCGTATATGACTGCTTCACAACAAACCTGCGAGGTAGGCTAGGATGAGTGTGTGAGGAATTGAGCCTGGAAGCCTTCCCAGTTTTAGTCCCTTACCTTCCTTCCCCAACAGGGAAATGATAACGCATTGGAGAGGGTCTTGCACCTACCGGTGGTCAATTCAGCATGCAGCAACCTCCAGAAGGCATATTCCGTCACCAAACAAGTTCATCCCCTGATGGCGTCCATGTGTGGGGCTTATGAGCGAGGCCTCCAGAATGCCAGCTCCATAGCTGCATCGAGCGTGAAGCCTGTGGTAAAGAAGCTGGAACCTCAACGTAAGTCAAGAGTGGGGGGATCTCTGGCCTGGGGAGGGGCAAATGTGGCCCTCCAGGCATCTTTATCTGGCCCCTGGAACTCTCCCTCAGCCACACCCCCATCTTTGCACCCTGACGCTTCTTGCCTGGCTGTGATTTGGCCTTGAACCTTTCTAACACCTCTTGCTTAGTTGGGTAGAGGATGGAGAGGAGTGTATGATTGGGTGTAGAAACTAGCCCTACTGTACAAAGGGGGAAGGTGGCACTGTGGGTTAAACCACAGAGCCTAGGACTTGCCAATCAGAAGGTCGGTGGTTCGAATCCCCGTGACGGGGTGAGCTCCCGTTGCTCAGTCCCTGCTCCTGCCAACCTAGCAGTTAGAAAGCACATCAAAGTGCAAGTAAATAGGTACCGCTCCGGCGGGAAGGTAAACGGTGTTTCCATGCGCTGCTCTGGTTCGCCAGAAGCGGCTTAGTCATGCTGGCCACATGACCTGGAAGCTGTATGCCAGCTCCCTCGGCCAATAAAGCGAGATGAGCGCCGCAACCCCAGAGTCAGCCATGACTGGACCTAATGGTCCCCTTTACCTTTATGAGATATAGCAATTATACCCAGACACCCGGGTCAAACAAAAGCCTCCTGTTCACAGTATGCAACAGACCCTCCAAGTTCCTATTTTCTACGGATGTCCCGATTTCTGATTTGATCCCAGAATGTCCCAGGTTTTCTTAGGATGTCTCTAATTTCATTGGAGAAATGTTGGAGGGTATGGAGTTATTCAACTCCCAAGCCATCTCAAGGCAACCCTGTATACGGAAGGTGTTTTTAAATGTTTAATGTTTTATTATGTTTTTATATGTGTTGGAAGCTGCCCAGAGTGGCTGGGGCAACCCAGTCAGATGTGGGGTAGAAACAGTAAAATTATCTTTATGGAATAGGATGTCCCCATTTTCATTGGAGAAATGTTGGAGGGTATGATGCAGAGATGGAGAATTTGGATGTTGGACTTGGAATTTGGCTTGTTTGGAAATCGTTAAGTGTGTGTTGTGCATGGACTGATTGAATCAACCAATTTACAGCTTGCTCCTTCTCCCTGGCTCTGCCCTAGAACCGTGTTAGTATCTGTATCCTCTTTGATTCAGTTGCAGCAGCCAACATCCTAACTTGTCGAGGTCTGGACCATTTGGAGCAGAAGATTCCTGCCCTCAACCAGCCAGTGGAGAAAGTAAGTTATGAGACTGCTTTGCTGGATGAACCCTGAAGTCTAGGTAAAAATGTAGAAAGCCAGCTCATGTAAATGTGGTTAAGATGCGCCTCTTTGCCCAGCCTTTGACAGTTAAGATATTTTGTTATGCAGGACCCACTTCTTCTTTTGCCAAATAGTTTTTATTCATTCTCCAGATTATAACCAATCAATAGCATTTACATCAAATTTACTACATTTTTTTTCAAATAAGATGACTTCCCATTCATCTTCCTAGATGTGTCCCTACTTCCCCCTATTTACTGCTTTTCCCCCATTTTTTATTTGTTCGTTTGTTTATACTTTTCAAGTTTATACATTTCATTAATTTTATACATGCCACTAACTTTACAATCATTTTGACATTTCAAAACTTCCTTCCCCCTCTTTCTGCAGTTCCTTAAATTTGTTTTTAATACCTTCTGCATATCCAAATTAACTTATTTACTCATTTATTCATCTTCTTTAAATATATACTCTTATAAAACTGCAGGTTATTACAATAATCCAATTTTTTATCTGTTTATAATTTATCTGTAAATATTCAATAAACAATTTCCATTCTTTTGTAAAATAAATAAATAAATTGTTATCTTTGATTTCTTCTTATTCCGGTAAGTTTTGCCATTTCTGCATATTCCATATGTCTTTGTATCCATTCTTCCTTTGCTGGGACTACTGCTTCTTTCCATCTGGGGGCAAGAAACATTCTTGCCACTGTAATTGCGTACATGAATAAGTTTCTATACATTTTATGTAGTTCTGTCCCTATAATTTCCTATTTATTTCAACCCTTATATCTAATCTTGAATTTCACATTTTCCAATTTAATTCTTTCTCCTTCTCCCTCAGCTGTCTAGTTTTCAATTCCTGCCTATATACTTAGCAATATCTGATACAGCAAAAGCAAAAACAAATGAGGTTTCCCAGTTCCTTGCCTCTCCCCCTTAAAGAGAGAATTAGTACAGAAACAACAAGATGAGGTTTTCATCTTGCATGTGTGTAGATCTGGGACGCACTTCTTTGGTTGAATCTATTCTGTTGTGTTTCGGCCATTATAAGAGTTTTGTGTTTTACCTTTGCAACTGTAATAGTTTTATGTGATTTCATAACAGTATAGATTATGTTGTTGTAACCTGCCCTGAAACATTATAGTGACAGACAGGTAAGCGCCCTTTTAAAAAAAAGTAATGTAACAATCTTCTCTGTTATCTCCTTCTGCTTTAGGTTACATCTGATCTAAAGGACTCCATCGTAACTTACATGCAAAGTGCTATGCGCTCAGTTATGCACACCTTGGATCGAGTCATGGGACTGGGTGTCAAAAGCTGCAAGCAGCCCAAGGGTAGCTTGAGGGACACAGCAGAGTATGCCAGGACCAGTCGAGTGAGCCAGCTGGCTGAAGCTGGAGTAGACGCGGCCATTGGCAAACTGGAGAAGCTGGTGGACTTCTTCCTACCAAAAACTGAGCATGAGTCAGGTTAGTTAGTACAGGGACAGACTTTGGTAATCTTTCGTAATATGGCGCCCTGCGCCAGGCCAAAATTTGAGATCTTCTCAATTAGAGATCTTCTCAGTCTTGTAAACCCGTCGGCTTGACGCCCTGTGTGGAGAAACTGTCTGCACCACTCTAAATCCAGGGTTGCTTAGTACCATTACAGTGGTACCTCGGGTTAAGTACTTAATTTGTTCCGGAGGTCTGTTCTTAACCTGAAACCATTCTTAACCTGAGGTACCACTTTAGCTAATGGGGCCTCTGCTGCCACTGCGTGTGATTTCTGTTCTCATCCTGAGATAAAGTTCTTAACCCGAGGTACTACTTCCGGGTTAGCAGAGTCTGTAACCTGAGGTGTTTGTAACCTGAGGTACCACTGTACCTGATTTTGTGGGTGGGTCATAGGGTTGCCCTATTTTGAAGAGCAAAAAAGAGGACGTGTTTGCCAACTTCTACTTTTAACTATGGATCATTAGGATGATTCTCATTTTACATGCCCTCGAAAAAGACGACGTGTCCTAGAAAAAAGAGGACATATGGCAACCCTAGCTGGTGTTAGGTCGTGGATATGCCAAAAGAGAACAAAGGAGCCCCAGTGTTGCAAAAACAGAGGTGGTGAATTTGTGGTGGATTATCCACCCATCTTCCCCAATGTTAAAGGTAAAGGGACCCCTGACCATTAGGTCCAGTCGTGACCGACTCTGGGGTTGCGGCGCTCATCTCACTTTATTGGCCAAGGGAGCCGGCATACAGCTTCCAGGTCATGTGGCCAGCATGACTAAGCTGCTTCTAGTGAACCAGGGCACCGCACGGAAATGTCGTTTACCTTCCTGCTGGAGCGGTACCTACTTATCTACTTGCACTTTGACATGCTTCCGAACTGCTAGGTTGGCAGGAGCAGGGACCGAGCAACGGGAGCTCACCCCGTCGCGGGGATTCGAACCGCCGACCTTCTGATCGGCAAGTCCTAGGCTCCGTGGTTTAACCCACAGCGCCACCTGCATCCCCAATGTTGCCAATCCCCAAATAGAAACAAAGAAAACTGCTTTCTACTGTTTAGAAAGTCCACCTAGCTTGCAATGACTTTTACTAGGGGTTCAGGCAGGGCTGTCTCCCAGCCCTACCTGTAGATGTCAGGGATTGAACCAGAGACCATCTGCATGCAAAGCAGATGCTCCTATCACTGGGCTACAGCCCTTTCCTACTATGTATTGCATATGGGAATTCAGTAATTTCCACAAGGTGGCACTGGAGATACTTCTGTTTCCAGTACTCGGGGGTTACTTCATGGAACTATTTGTATTCAAACCACAATTAATTATTTCTTTTTAACAGAAACTCATACCGCAAATTGCTTAACATGTCCCATCTGAAATTAATAAAAAAAACCTGAGGTAAAATGGCCATTCAGACAGAGTATTGTTAGCTGAAATTACATGCATCATTTTTTCTGCTTAGCAGCAAGTCATTAAGACTGGGTTAATCCCTTAAACTAATTAAAAACTGGGAGTTCTATCCAATGTTATCATTTGGATGTTGGAAGGGTCTTTGGTTCTAGTGGAACATTCTATCAGCAGAATGGAGAAGGCAGGCAATGTTTGCATAGTCACTCTCCCCTCTACACCCCCCCTTCACCCCGCTTCCTCCAACCTGCTCCAGAGAGGGGGAGTTTACTCTTCAGGGCATCATGAGAGTTGGCAGAGGGCTGTAGAGAGGAGGGTGAATCAGGAAAAATAGCCGCCATCCCTGTTCCACTGATGGAAACCTCCATAGAAACAATGGAACCTTTCTTCCAGTACAAGGACATCATTGGTTTCAAGACAATCCCTTATAACTGGACACCAAAAAAGTCATTCATGATTAACCAGCAGCATATTATCTAAAATATTAATTATTTTTAACATGAGTTGGTTTTAAAACTGTGGATGATGGTAAGGATGCGGGATAAATTTGATTCCATTCACATTTAATGGTGAACCTACCTAATTCACAGTTTCTGAAACAAGGCTCTGGTGCTCTGCCACAACAAATCCACTTTTGACAACATCTACAACAGACTTTTTGCAGGAAGGAAAGTGACTGGGAAACGCACTAAAAAAAGAAGTGTGAGATAAACAATTGATTGACGGAAAGATGTAGAACTTCCAAGCAAACAAATAAAGATGGATGCTCAATAAAGAATGGACATATTCTAACCTCTATGGAACTTTGTGCAGTAAACAGGTTGTCCAAAGAGGGCCAGAGGGAATGAGAGTGTATGCCCTATGCCAGTTTTTATGTGAACTGCCCTAAAAAGCTGGGGGAATTAATGAATGGGCAAGATTATGCAGATGTCATTCATTGATCAGTTCAGTAAAACTAGTCTGATGGATTGGTTAATTATGCAACCTTATGCATTTCTAGCTAGAAGTCAATTCTTTCAAGTTCAATAGGACTTATTCCCAGGAAAGCGTGTGTAGGATTGCAGCCTAAAATTTCTTTAACCTTACTTTAAAACTGTCACCTTTGACAGCTACTGTGGAAGTGTATGGTGTAGCTTATACTCACACCAAACTGTCTTGCCATTCTATTTAATGTTTGAGAAAGCAGGCCTGAGTCTGCTACTTGAAAGAAAATTGAAGCAGAAAGAGGAGAGATGATCTTACTTATATTTATAAAGATGGAACTAAAAAGACAATGTGGATTTGTTAGTCATCAGCTGCCTATCACCTGGCTTGTTTATTAGTAGGTAAAGGTAAAGGACCCCTGGATGGTTAAGTCCAGTCAAAGGCAGCTATGGGGTGTGGCGCTCATCTCGCTTTCAGGCCGAGGGAGCTGGTGTTTGTCCACAGACAGCTTTCTGGGTCATGTGGTCAGCAGGACTAAACCGCTTCTGGCACAACGGGACACCATGACCGAAGCCAGAGCACACAGAAACACTGTTTACCTTCCTGCTGCAGCAGTACCTATTTATCTACTTGCACTGGTGTGCTTTTGAACTGCTAGTTTGGCAGTAGCTGAGACACAGCATCGGGAGCTCACCCCGTCTTGGGGTTTCGAACCGCCAACCTTCTGATCAGGAAGCCCAAGAGGCTCAGTGCTTTAGACCACAGCGCCACCTGGGTTCCTGTTTATTAGTAGGGATGCTCTGATGTCTTAGAAAGTGCAGAAGCATTTAATCTCTTTGTCTAATATCGCTGGTCTTGCTCCTTGATTGCATGTATATTCTCATCTCCCCACATTTTTCTTCTCTAGTGCACAAGCCTCCGGTCAGGTGTGAGTTGAGCACCTTTGGAAGGATAAGATCTTTAGCTGCTACTGCTTTCCACCGTGCATACAAAAAGACCACCCAAAACATCCAGCACGTAAGAGACAAAGGGCAGGATTTGGCAACGTGGATCCCAGGTCTGGTAAGTGTCTCTGCCTGGAATTCCCTTGGCTAAACTGAGCGTGGCTGTTGTACCAAGTGCTGGATTAGCACGTAAAAGTTTAATTTAGGGCTTAGCATGTAATAGTTTAATTTAGGGCTTAACTACACATTAATTTTCTATTTTAAGCATCACTCATAATAACTTTCCCCATGGCTCCCACTGTTCTAGGACCGTTTGAATTCCCTGCCCAAAATTAAATGAGCCATCGTCAGGACACAGTCGTAAAAATCATAACGCCTTTGTTTCTTTAGACCATATTTCCTTCTCGATTCTTAATGCTGTCACTGTGCTCATGAGGACTGGAAAAATATAAATAAAGTAAACAAACAGAAATGCCATGAAGCTCATCTGGTGCATGTCAAGCGTGTAACTTTAAGAAAGAACCAAAACACTCAGAACTACTTCTTCTTCTTCTTCTTCTTCTTCTTCTTCTTCTTCTTCTTCTTCTTCTTCTTCTTCTTCATTTACTGCTCCTCATCCTAGTATCACAGGACGGTTTACAATATAAGAATACAAAAATATGCAATATGATAACAAACAAACAAAATAACCCATCCACGCATTGTTCAAAAGGCCATAGTTTGGTCCTTGGTCTCTTTTGGAGATGCTTTCTGGCAAGAGTGACATCAGGAGATTCCGAGGGCCTGATAGAGAGGCCTGGGGACCCTGGGCCTTAGGTTCTCCACCCTTGCTCTAACCATTGGACTACACTATTGGCCTGCATAGAGAAATAATTTGACCTATGCTCCTAAGTAAGCCAATTCCTAACTCTGTTCCTAATTTATTTTTAGGATTATATGATAGTTTCCTGTGTTTCCTTTTAGTGTGGGGTTCTGATCTCTACTAAAGACTTTATCTCTGGGCACTAGGTTCACAAATGAAGATGAAAAGGCTGGTTTATTTTTAACTGGCTCTGTATTGATTCATGACTTTGATTAACATCCTTCCTAAAGCCATGAACTCTCCCTCGTGGAGTCATGGGAGCATGGGTTTTGAACAGGAGGAGGAAGACACACAAATTATCCCCCTTGGTACCTCCTTTCCAACATCCTGTTGAGTTTGTGCCTGGGAACCATCACATAGCTACTTCCCCTCCCAAGGTCTTCTTTTCCCCCACTCACCATGTATATCTCCCAAGGATTGGGTCCTCCTGGCTCCAGTCCCAATATAGAGAGATGTGTTGGGTACCCAAGATTAAGTAGAACATGTTGTGGTTCCCTTGAGCTGGGATTTGCATGTGAAGTTTCTGGAGGTAGCTACCAAACACTCTTAAGAGTGTTTTCACTCTTGAGAGCTTGTGTGGTGTAGTAGTTTAGAGTGATGGACTAGGACTGCAGGGAGGGAAACCCGGGTTCAATTTGCCCCTCTGCCACACTCAGTTGATGGGCTTAGGCAGTGGTTTTTTTCTTTCTTCTAAAAAAAATTTAGTAAAGGTAAAGGGACCCCTGACCATTAGGTCCAGTCGTGACCGACTCTGGGGTTGTGGCGCTCATCTCGCTTTATTGGCCGAGGGAGCCAGCGTACAGCTTCCAGGTCATGTGGCCAGCATGACTAAGCCGCTTCTGGCGAACCAGAGCAGCGCATGGAAAAGCCGTTTACCTTCCTGCTGGAGCGGTACCTATTTATCTACTTGCACTTTTATGTGCTTTCAAACTGCTAGGTTGGCAGGAGCAGGGACCAAGCAACGGGAGCTCACCCCGTCATGGGGATTCAAACCACTGACCTTCTGATCGGCAAGTCCTAGGCTCTGTGGTTTAACCCACAGCACCACCCACGTTTAGGGGTACTCTCATTTTGACTCAAGAAAACCACCATTTTATAGTTCAGATCAGGGAAAATAAATACAGCAAATGGACAAAAGTACGAAGAACATGTGTTACCTCATATTGCACAGCTGACAGCTCACAGTAACTTCCACATTGGCATGAGGTTGTGTGCACTAACATCTTCCCGATTCCTCTGCTTGCTGTTGGTGTCTGTCACCAGATGTCGTCCTTTCAAAAACCATGAATTTACATACACTTGAAGGCTCAAAGGAGGGCCTACCAGTTTTATAAACATTAAGTTGGCTACAGGGTTTAAATGCAATGAAGCTCTTGTTGGAGTCAGTATTAAATTCATCTGAGAGAAGCCATGTTCACACTCACTTGTTGAAATTGGGGTGTTCTTGATTATGCTTAAAAGAGGCAGAAGAGATGATGGAATCTTCTTTTCTGAAAAGTACTCTCAAAAACCCCTGAGGATTTATCTATCAAGAAGTCCAAATCTGTCGCACTAGTTCATTATTTCTGTTTCGCCAAAGGTTAAAGGAGGATTATCTGGCCAAGTTTTACAATCCAACACGGGGTAGCAATGGAACGGACGATTCGCCGTGCTAGAGAAGAAACTAAAATTTTTAGTTTCTTCTCCTGTTAGATTCACAAAATGTTTAGGGGTATGCGTACCCCTGTGTACCCCCAGAAAAAAAACCCACTGGACATAAGTCATTTGCTATCTCTTAGCCCAATCTACTTTACAAGGTTGGTGAGAAGATAAAGTAGAGCAGCCACACAGTGGCGTAGCGTGGAGGGTGTAGGGGGGGGGCCGGCCACACCGGGCGCAACATCTGGGGTTAGGGCAAATCCACGGGTTAGGGGGCGCAAATCCACAGGTTAGGGGGCGCAAATTACTTGCCTTGCCCCGGGTGCTGACAACCCACGCTACGCCACTGCAGCCACATGACCTACTTTACAGAGGAGAATCCTCTGTTTGAAGGTCTGCGTGTTATTTAGGAGTCTTCTGTTTGAAGTGCTGCCCAAGCCAAGCTGGGTTAAAAGATAAAGATCTCTAAGAAGGGAGAGCAGGAGGGATCTTGAAGTTCACAAAAACATCGGCCACCTGGGCACAAGTTTCCCCATTAAGGTGAGGTGTATTGTATTCCTACATAAGATACAGTACTTAAACACCAACCTTTGTACTTGGTGACCTTTTCCTGTAGCAGGAGCCATACTGGGAGGTGGGGAAGAACTCCTTTTAGCTGCTCTGTTGGGGTAGTGAAATGCTTAAAAGTGAATAAAGTGTAGCAAATTATTTTATTTACGGAACGTGTTCATTATGAGTACATAAAAGCTTTCAAATGTAATAATAACTCTTCATATTCAATTTATACATTTATGACTCTAACAATTTATAGACTGTTAAAACACAGAGAGACACGTGAGCTTGATGATGGGGTTCTAGATGCTTGAATGAGGCGTGTTTGCCAGCCAGGGATAGCTCACTTGGTAGAGCGTGAGGCTCTAAGTCTCAAGGTGATGGGTTTGAGTCACACGCTGGGCAACTTTCCTTCATTGCAGAGAGTTGGATTAGATGATCCTTGTGGTCCCTTCCAACTCTACAATTCTATGATTCTCTGATTTCTACACTTACACCAATACATAGAAATCACTGACCCTGTCAGGGGACTGCCATCGGAACAGGGGAAGGAGGCAGGGGGGCTGCTGGGGTACAGAGAGTCTCCGAAACTCCTGAGGAGCAGTTCCTCTTCCAGCGGTGGGAAAAGCCACACCTCCAGTGGAGAAGAGAGGGAAGGGGCCAGCCAAGCGAGGAAAGGGCTCAAGGATGCTGCTGAGAGCCCCAGCGCCTCACCTTGCCAGGCTGGCCAGGAGGGACGCATGCCACTTCCATCGTCCAGCTTGCGCAGAGGGGTGAAATGCAAGGAGGGGAGGAGGAGGCTTGGGGTGCCAAAGTTCTTATGTTGGGGGTGAATCCAGAAGCGGCCACTCCCGGATTCTGCAAGTGACTGAGACGGACATGAATTTTGTAGATCTGCGCTGTAAATAGTTTGCACAATTGTTGTTGTTTAGTCGTTAGTCATGTCCGACTCTTCGTGACCCCATGGACCAGAGCCCGCCAGGCACTTCTGTCTTCCACTGCCTCCCGCAGTTTGGTCAAACTCATGCTGGTAGCTTTGAGAACACTATCCAACCATCTCGTCCTCTGTTGTCCCCTTCTCCTTGTGCCCTCCATCTTTCCCAACATCAGGGTCTTTTCCAGGGAGTCTTCTCTTCTCATGAGGTGGCCAAAGTACCACCAGAATGGATAGCTTTGATCTTCTTGCAGTCCATGGGACTCACAATAAAACCTGTAAAAGACAGGTCGGAGTCCTGCCTGGTTACTCACGAGCAACCACCATCAGCGTCTGACAGACCCTTTGAAATTTATACTCTGATGTGCCCAAAGTGACAAAGAAATCATTTCTCACCCATGTCCAATTAATTTTAATCCGCATGCCTTATTTGGGCCTGGAAACGCATGGACTCTTCACCATCTTCTTCTGTGCAGGTTGTCTTGGCCCGGCAGAGCTCAAAGAAGGTCCTGAAGATCATCACTGGTGTTCAGAGCGCAGAAACCGGCTGGCTAAGCAAGAAGGTTCAGAAGGTGCCAAAGAAAGAGGAGGAAACCAAGAAAGATGACACTGGGAGAAAGGTACAACTTTTGAAATCATTATTCTTGGACCATGTGCGTGGTGCGTGTGTAGAACATAGATCAATGACAGAAACTATCCTTCGCACACAGAGGGTCCCAGGTTCAATCCTTGCCATGTCCAGGTGGTCCTATAGGAAACTGCATAGAAAAATGTGTTTAAGATAAATTTGCACTAAAATGCTGGTGTGTTTTCATGGGGGTTATTTTTAAGCACAAAACGCTGCAGATATGTGGTGGATTGAATTTAATGTTGGGAAAACGAGAAACTTAGAGAACTGAAATGAACAGATCCTTCCACCCTTACGTAGAATAATTACTCCCCACCAAGACTTTCATCTTGCTTAAGAGAAAACCTCAGGAACAAAGAAGAGTAGTTTTATGCAAAAGGGGAGCGGCTTTCCAAATCTTTCAAACTCCCATGTTCACAGAGAAAACTTAAAATGTGTATATGATATCCACCAGAGTTCTGTTCCGCACTGGAGAAGCAGAGTTAGCTTTTTAGGAGATTAGCTTTGGCATGTACAGTGGTGCCCCGCAAGACGAATGCCTCGCAAGACAAAAAACTCGCTAGACGAAAGGGTTTTCCGTTTTTTGAGTCGTTCCGCAAGACGAATTTCCCTATGGGCTTGCTTCGCAAGACGAAACGTCTTGCGAGTTTGTTTCCTTTTTCTTAAAGCCGCTAAGCCGCTAATAGCTGCTAAGCCGTTAATAGCCGCTAAGCCGCTAATAGCCGTGCTTCGCAAGACGAAAAAACCGCAAGACGAAGAGACTCGCGGAACGGATTAATTTCGTCTTGTGAGGCACCACTGTAAATAAATGGTGTTAACCTGTTGAATCCAGCTGTTTTGGGTTTGAGGCAGCCAGGCATTTTGCTTTTTTCCTCCATTGGGTGCAACTGGGGGAGTCAAACCAGAGGCCAAAGTTCCACAGGAAATTCATCCTCTATCCAAGCAGCCAGGGGAAGGAAACGGCGGGAGCTCTTTCCCAAGGGGACATGGCATTAAAAAGCCAAGCACGGGGTCTTTGATTATATCAAAGACCCTGGAAATTCTGATGTTATTACTATTATGACCTCTGTTCTGTGGTGGGGGCTTTCAGGAAAACTTTAAATTTACAATTTTTCCATTGTCCTAAATTGATGGAGCTCTGATTTGACATGTTTACCCAGAGAAAATTGAATGTGCTCCTGTGTATTGGGAGCAGAAGGGTTGGGATGTGGGAGAAATGTGATTTTATTTTTGTTTGCATTTTAATGAAAAACTACCTAATTCACCCTTCTGCAAACCCAGTATGTGAGCTGACACGCAGTTAAGCTTTTAAATTTGTACTGCTCCGAATTCTGCAATTCAGTTTGCCAACCAACCAATATGTACAAAAATGCACATATTGAGTGGTAACGTGTGTAAAAAGGCATAGGTTAGTGGAAACAGCATACAAGAATGCATCGTAGCAGGAGAAAATGCTTGAGAAAAATGTGCATATTACTCAAAACAGAATTAAGAAATGTGTTGGTCAAGAGAAATTTGCACAGAAATGCTAGAACATTTTCAAATTACTGCAGAAACATGGTAATATTGGGAAAATGTGAAACTGAGAGAAATTAAAATTGCCAGAATTCTCCATCCCTAGTGGTGGGAGAGATTCTGTGGGAGAGAAGCCATCACTTCCCCTAAAGTCTGTGAGATCACACCAGCCAGGGCAAAGAGTTGGTGAGGGGGATAATTTTCTTTGTTGCACACCCTGACCTGGTTCAGCCTTTAAAAAAAAATAGTTTAAATCCTCATTGATACTAATTGGGTCCTGTTGACACTAGTTTTTCATCCTTCTTGGGGTTATGTCAGGGATACAGTAGAGTTTGGGATCCATCAGATCCAAGATGTTCTCAGATTCACACATGGCTCACCCTGCTTCTGGTCCTATTGCTCCACAACCTAGACCTAATGATGCTTAGCACCCTTAACAAACTGCAGTTCCCAGGATTCTATGGGGAACTGGTGACCTGGGAACTACAGCTAATCCAGAACGCAGCAGCTAGACTGGTGACTGGGAGTGGTCACCGAGACCACATAACACCAGTCCTGAAAGACCTACATTGGCTCCCAGTATGTTTCCGAGCACAATTCAAAATGTTGGTGCTGACTTTTAAAGCCCTAAATGGCCTCTGCCCAGTATACCGGAAGGAGCGTCTCCACCCCCATCATACAGCCCAGATACTGAAGTCCACCTCTGGGGGCCTTCTGGCAGTTCCCTCTCTGCGAGAAGTGAGGTTGCAGGGAACCAGGCAGAGGGCCTTCTCGGTAGTGGTGCCCACCCTGTGGAATGCCCTCCCATCAGATGTCAAGGAAATAAACAACTATCTGACTTTTAGAAGACATCTGAAGGCAGCCCTGTTTAGGGAAGTTTTTAATGTTTGGTGTTTTATCGTGCTTTTAATCTGTTGGGAGTCGCACAGAGTGGTTGGGGAGGCCCAGCCAGATGGGTGGGGTATAAATATATTATTAATATTAGTAGTAGTAGTACAGTGGTACCTCGGGTTAAGAACTTAATTCGTTCTGGAGGTCCGTTCTTAACCTGAAACTGTTCTTAACCTGAGGTACCACTTTAGCTAATGGGGCCTCTTGCCGCTGCCACGTGATTTCTGTTCTCATCTTGAAGCACAGTTCTTAACCTGAGATGCTATTTCTGGGTTAGCAGAGTCTGTAACCTGAAGCATCTATAACCCAAGGTACCACTGTAGTAGTAGTAGTAGTAGTAGTAGTAGTAGTAGTAGTAGTATTTAAAGTGATATGAAACCACTTCAAATGAATGGTGCAGATGTGGTCATGAGTACTCATAGGGGAAAGTCATGCTTGCTCAACCAAGATCCTTGGCTTTATTTTCTGCTTCTAGACAGCAAAGCAAGTCGAGGCACAGAGCTTGGTGGGCAGTGTGTCTCAGAACCTGCAGACGTCGTGCTTCTCCATCGCCTCAAGGGTGAAGGATGCCCCTGCTACTGTCTGGAATGCAGCTGGGCAGCTTCTGCAGGTCTCTCCGCAGAGGGCCATGTCTGAGGCAGGGGACAAAGTGGACCTGCTGAAAGAGACCTTTCATAATATCACAAGCAACCTGCTGGGAACATTCTCCTCCTATGTACCTGTAAGTCACATCTCCTTCCTGTGGGATAAGAGGTGGAGTGGTGGGCATATTTGGGAGTTCGGATCTGCATAATTGGAGTGGGGTGTGTTGCAGCTGGAATCTTCGTGAACCATTTGCCTATGCACAAACTAGCTTGGCATTTGGAATGGAGAGGGGGAATCCGATTCATTTCACATTTCAAGGTGGACCTACCTCTAACTGGCATTTTTCCAAAGCAATGTGTGAACCAAAACACAACCATCATTTGAAGTTTTCAACCCTCCGAATGTTGCAATGAAGCTCTCCAGCCAAGTAATAGGTACAAAAATTCAGATAAATGCATCACTAGCATACAGCAATGACGTATATTCATACAAAAACGTATCAGGGGAAATTGCTTTGCCAAAATGTGTATACTAGGCAAAATTGCGTACAAAAAAATTGTCTTTGGGGAGACATTCGTGCAAAAATGCTGATGAATTTTCATGAGGACTTCTGTTTGTTTTTAAAAAAATACAGACTGATGTGGTAACATGTAGAACTGAATTGAAAGAATGAGAAACTGAAATTGACATAGTCACCATTCTCTATCCATCTCTCTCTCACAAACACAAACAGACACAGACACAGACTTGGTGGTTGCCATAGGTCTTTTCCCTGTGTGCCCAGGCCACGTGGGAGTAGCTTTCCTGTGATTCTACCCTATGTGGATGTAAATACCACAACCACCTGGATGTAGCTCATTGAATGGGTCTTTCCCACGCTGCTGACACACACACCCTCTTTGGGCCAGGGACATACTGGGTAGAAAGGCACTGCTCATGCAGGTGCAATGGTCATGCACATACAGCACAATGCCAAAAGTTGAAGACTGTATGATGTGGCCTATATCTGTGTGGGCTGCTGCCTTTGCAGAGATCTCTAAAGTGGTGGGGAACCTGTAGCCCTACAGATCTTGTTGGACTCCAGTTCCCATCATCCTCAGCCAGCATGGCCAGTGGTCAAGGATGATGGGAGCTGTAGTCCAACAAAATCTGGAGGGCCACACTTCCTCACTCCTGCTCAGAAGCCACACCTGTTGTTGGCATCAGTAGTGTGCCCCAGTATCATAAGTGTTGGGAAACTGTGTATGTGCAGCTACTCACACAGAGTCAATTAAGGTTTGGCAGACAGCCAGAAGGCAATCTGAAGGAGTAAGTCTGCCTGGTGATAACAGAGACATGGGGACAACTCCCTGATTGGTCAAGCTCTCTCAAGGGAGTGATAATTAATGGCCTACTAACTGGGAGTTCAGTGTTCAGAGGTTTAGAGTTCTGTGTGTCAGTGCAGGAGTTGTGAGTAGTGTATGAGAGAGCTAGCAAAAGATCCGTGTTCTCTTCCTGTAAATAGTCCACTGTATATAATAAACACCTAACTACAAGTTCCTGCTTCCTGCTTCGTCTAATCCTGTCTGCAGCCAAGTTGCCAATTGCTTCCGTGGATTCTGCGTGTACTCTGCTAGGTCTGGCTAAGGTCCTGCAACTAGTCAGAAAAGTTGTGAAACACCAATAGGTTTTGCCAATAGTAAGAATGTTTGTGCAAAGTTCTGTCGTAAGTGCTTGAACCCATCCTGCAGAAACCAATCTCCAAAGGTTGAGTTGGGAGGAATTTCCTGAAAAATTATAGGGTCTGGGTTTACCCATCCGAAATTCACACCTCTCTCTCTTTCCATATCCACTCTCTCCCATCCCTGGTTTAGGTTCCAAAGATCTCAGTGAAACAAGAGGAGACTGCAAGCGTGTCCATGGCTAATTCTGAGTCAAGTCAAGACCAGGAAGGTACCCAGCCTGTGAGCACAGATGCTGAGGAGGAGAAGCGGGGGCTGGCGTATCAGCTTCTAGGAATTCGGCGGTCTAGCCGAGGTCATCATCCTCTCTCCTTCCTCAATCTTGATGAGCCCCTTCCTCCTCAGCCAGCCCCCTACCAACATCGGAGCCCAGCCTTTGAAGCTGAGTATGCAGGATCCCGCAAATCTGCCTTCTCCCCTTACAAGGATTGGGCTGGCAGCAGGAGAATGAGTGAAGGGCTGTGCCGCCCCAGTTCGCAGGTTGTGTACACCAGGGCTCATGCAAGCCTCTATAGCACCACCTTCAAGAAAGACTAAGCCAATAAGAGGCCCAAACCCTCTGCTTAATAACTTGTTCAGTCTCTTGAGTCTACTGCCCTTGCTGGCTTTGCAAGCTGTATAACATTAGAATATATCAGGTAGAGCCCGGCCTCCTCAAAAAGAACATTGTGGGGTGAGGAACTGACTCTACCCCTAGGAGTGTGTGATCAGGATAAGGACCACAGTACGTGAGGCTAGTAATCCATTTCCCCACACCAGAGAAAAAATATTCTCCTCCAAACCTTCTATTCCTCATCCAGGGATGAAGAGAAATAGCTTTGACGATTCTTATCAGGGCCACAACCTGAGGAGTTATGTGTTATCACCCCACACTGTGTCACACTCCTAATCTTGTATTTAAAACAAACAAACAAAACAAACCTCCAGACATGTTAAATAAGGAATGGGGAACCTGTGACCCTCTGGTAGGGATGGGTGACTCTGTCAATTTCGTTTCTCTCAGGGGTTTTTTTTTAGTTCCGTATTAGTTTTCAATTTTTCTTTTTTTTAAAAAAAAAACCTTGTGAAAATTAATCGGCATTTCAGGGCTAATTTCTCTGAACAAATGCATGATTTTTGCCTAATATGCACATTTTTTTGGTCAAGGAATTTCCCCAAATACAATGCATTTTTGTAAGCTAATTTCACTAACATACTCATTTCTAGGCACACTTTACCCAAGCGCGTGCATTTTTTGAACACTCTAATTGGCTGGAGAACGACACAGCAAAGTTTGAACATGTGCAAATCTGGAGGGACGGTTTAGTTTTGGCTCACGTGTTGTTTCGGAAAGTGTGAATAAGGCAGGTTCACCTTTAAATGCGAACTGGATTTAATTTCTCCCCATTCCTACCTTCTTGAGTTTTGTTGGACACTAGTACAGTCAGTGGTCGTGAATGATGAACATTGGAGGGCCACAGATTCCTCAGCCCTGCCAAACGCATTGACATGCTTAACATAACGCCTTGTTTGACCTTAAGAACCATAGCTAAAGACAACCTTCCTTACTTGGTTGGGCTACTTACATTCCCAGTTGGGGCTTTAAATGAATGGCAAATCAGTGATTTCCTCCTAGCCGACAGAAACATGGAACCATAGAATTGTAGAGTTGAAAGGGACCACAAAGGTCATCTAGTCCGATCCCTTACAATGCAGGGATATTTTGCCCAATGTGGGGCTCGAAGCTACAACCCTGAGATTAAGACCCTCATTCTCTACCAAACTGAGCTATCCCTGGCCAGCAAACACGCCTCCTTCGATCATCTAAAACCCCACCATCAAGCTCAGGTGTATCTGTGTGTTTTTAGTGTCTATGACTTGTTAGTGTCAGAAATGTATAATATGAACAGTGATTTTATATTTGGAAGCTTTTATCTACTTTCCATAAATAAAATAATTTGCTAGACATTACTCCCTTTTAAGCATTTCACTACCCCATCAGAGTGGCTAAAAGGAAAGAGAGAAAGAGAAAGAGAAAGAGAAAGAGAAGAGAGAGAGAGAGAGAGAGAGAGAGAGAGAGAGAGAGTTTTCTGTTTTACAATTTAAAGTACTCATTTTTACATCCTTAAAATATCCGTGACTTCCCTTCTTCTCATTCCATGGTTCATTGTACAATCCCTGCATATTTTACAGAAACTATACCATTCAGAGTTCCATTATTACATCCATCATAACTTATTTACACTGTTGAATTTATCGTAATGCTGCCAGCGTTTTCAGCTGTACACAGTTATTTCCCATGTATTCAATAAACATTTTCCAATCTTCTCTAAACGTGTGTTCTTCTTGTTCTCTTATTCTGTTCCACCTGTCAAGCAGCTCTTTCAGTCAGAAAGTTCTTCCTGGTGTTTAGTCAGAACATTCTTTCTTGTAACTTGGGTCAAGTCCTACGCTCTGGAGCAGTGGCATAGGAAGAGAGGTGTGGGCAGCCCCGGGTGTCATCACTGAGGAGGGTGACAAAAAAATAACTCCCTCACCCACCGTACGCCCCTTCCTACGCCACAGCAGGAGCACTCTCCCCTCTAGTTTTCAGAAACTAGAAGCATTTCTGCCTCCAACTTTGCAGGCAGAGCACAGCCTTTATGGTAGCCTTTATGGCTAGTAGCGTTCGACAACCCTCACCTCTCCATCTTCCTCACCTGCTCGCTTTGGTACAGCAAGTCTCCATGGAACCAGGAGAGTGCCGGCGCAGCCAGCTGGGAAGAGAGTGAGGCTCCCTCTGGAGGTCAAGAGGGGCGGCGGGGATATTCTTGCCAGGTTTCAGCTGCCTGGAAGGTTTCCAAGGCTTGGTCAGGTTGAAATGGGCTGAGGCTGCTTGGGACAGGTTTCCACGAGGGCTGCTTTTCTGGTATTGTTGAGGGCGGTGTGGGAGTGAGTTACTGTTAATAACTTTTTGCTGGGTCTGGGTCGCTCTGGAGAGACCAGGAAGAGAAGAAATTCAAGAAAGAATGGGAAGACATAATGTATTTAAGAGAACACTGTAAACAACTAAAAACTTTGGCAGTATTAGATTAAAACTTGTAAGGTACAAAATACAATGGGAAAATGGTTAAAATATTTCTAACAAGATAGAGAAAATAGGATAAGCTGAAGGGAAAGGAGATTGATAGTGGAAACCAGGGAAAGGCACTGGGAAGTCAAGGGATTCTGAGAATCCTAAATGTGATGGTGAATGATGTGCTTAAACTGAAATTTGTTATGTAAAATTTAATAAAAATATTTATAAAAGAGAATTGTAGTTAAGCAACATCTGGGAGGCCACAGGTTCCTGCTGTAGACTTTCTGCACCAAGCCAACAAGTCCTTCTCCAGCTTTATGAATCCTTGCCAGCTGGAATTTCTCTTTAACTGTTATCCTGCCGCTCCCCTACATGCACACACTTGCTGTAATGAGCAGAAATGCAGAGATGCCACACAACAGGCAGGATACAGGGTTGATGTGTGGGAGATGCTGTGGCCTCTGCCTTTGGGAATGTCAAGGTAAATATAGTGCATGTCTCCGGACAGAACAAATCTAAAAGCCAGTAGGATTGTCACTAATATATATATATATATTAATTGCCCTCTTTCGGTGTTCTATTGGCCCCCAGGCAGCCAGAAATTTGCAGCACATCAAGCTGCCAAGAAAGGCATAGAAATGCCAGTCTCGATCTATGTAAGACTGTCTATGTAAGATGGTGTAGTACAGGTAAATCATTTCTTGGTTGGACTTAGGGACGTATGTGGTACATTCCCCAAAAGTCCAGAAAAGAATACCAACAGGTTAGTATGGTAGCTATGTATCCCATTATTCAGAGCACTATCCTTTATTCGAAAACGTCCCTATTTAAAGGGTAGTTTAGACCAGACTTGGACCAAACTGCCCTTTAAATAGGGAACACATTCAAATAAGGATAAAAAACATAGGAAGGGATCGGGGGGGTCTTGAAGGAGGATGTTACCTGGTGGCTGCCTTTCCACCAGGTGAGATGTATTGTTTTTCCTATTTAAATTATAGTATTTATTTCTCAGTTTGTAACACGCCCTTTAGCATGTGCAAATTGTACGCGGAACTGTTGTCATTCTCATTTCTTTTAGTTATGTGTAAGGGGACACGTTCTAACATTGTGTGCATTCTGTCCAATCTGTTATATAGCTTTTGAATCTCTGAGTTGCTCTGTTGCATTTTCCTGTCTCCAAGCCTATAAATAGGGTTGATTTGTGCTTTGCATGGTCCTGGCAGAGAAATTAGCACCTAAGCCTTTGGAGCCAGCAGGTCACTTGATGACAGCAGCAGCGAGGAAGGAACACTCAAACTGGAATAAATAATAACTGCCGACATCTGTGTGAGGTTTCTGCTTGGTCTAATTACTGGCTTCTCCCAGATTTCATGAGATAAGTCAGAAAGCTGTCTCCACTGGGGCTACCAATCTTTCCCCTAGTAAGAGGCTGCTGCCTTCTGTGGCTTTGTGACAAATGGAAATCTGACTGATAAAGCTTTCTCCCATCAGTGCATGGGAAGAAAAGTCACCTGTTCAATTCCTGCCTGTTGAGGCCACCTACCACCCCACTCCCCCAACTCCTGTAATTCCAACTCTGAACAAGAGTGGATCTGGATGGGCAGCTGTGTGAATGAAGTAATGTGATCAGGTCACCTCTGTGCCTGACTGTCATTCATGTGCTGATAAGAGTTGATGGGCTCTTCTGGGGCCCCTCTTCCAGTAATAATAATAATATTTTATTATTTATACCCTGCCCATCTGGCTAGGTTTCCCCAGCCACTCTGGGTGCCTCCCAAGAGTATTAAAAACACAATGAAACATCAAACATTAAAAACTTCCCTAAACCGGGCTGCCTTCAGATGTCTTCTAAAAATCAGATAGTTGTTTATTTCCTTGACACCCAATGGGAGGGTGTTCCACAGGGTGGGCGCCACCACTGAGAAGGCCCTCTGCCTGGTTCCCTGTAACCTCACATCTTGCACTAAGGGAACCACCAGAAGGCCCTTGGAGCTGGACCTCAGTGTCTGGGCTGAATAATGGGGGGGTGGAGATGCTCCTTCAGGTGGACTTTGGTAATGTGTTGCTTTGAGCAAGGACAAAATTTGGCACCCCTCCTCAAATATATATATTTATTTTCATGCCCTCCTCCCTCTTGCCTTCCATTCTGTGCCCCCTCAGCTCGGTGCCCACACTGTCCTAAATCCGGCGCTGCCTCTTCTCCCTTCCGATGGTTCAGTATGTGGTCAGCCTTTCAAATAGAAGACTCTTTCAAACAGAAGACTGTCCCCTGTAAAGCTGGACAAATGTGACACTAAGAGAGCATCGTGAGCACACCCAGCCCAAGAAAGACAAACAGCTGGTATTTGTTGCTGTTGTTATTAAAATATTTCCAATTATAGAGTAAAATTGGAGATAAACAAAGAAGAGAAAAAGATGCTAGAAATAAAGGAAAAAGAGAACGAGAGAAGAGTGAGATAAAGAAAAGAAAAAGATTGTTAGCAAAAGATGCAAGAGAATACACACACGCACACACAGTGGTACCTCGGAAGTTGAACGGAATCTGTTCCGGAAGTCCGTTCTACTTCCAAAACGTTCGGAAACCAAGGCACAGCTTCCAATTGGCTGCAGGAAGCTCCTGCAGCCAATCGGAAGCCGCAGAAGCCGTGTCAGGTGTTCAGGTTCCAAAGAACGTTCGCAACCGGAAAGACTCTCCTCCTGAAGAGAGGGGAGTGGTTGTGGGCGGTAGCCCGAGCCCCGCCTCTAGCAGGGGCGTTAGCCCCCTGCCTCCCACTCACCTGGCTGGCGCCCACACCCATCGGCAGGCACCCAACCAGGTGCCTCCGAGGGGCGTGTACAGCAGCCTTAATACTGTGGCGCCAGCCCCTCCTCAGCCTCACTCTTCGTCGACCCGTCGCGATTCACCCACCCTCCACTCCCTTGAGCTCAGGGTCTTAGTTTTCCTCGGCCTTGCTATGGACCTTAGGTTGGTCACCCTGGTTGTCCGGGGGGCCTGGTAGGAATTTTTCCATTTGGCATTAGGCCTTTTGGTTTTTTCGCCTACCTCGTAGCAATCTTCACAACTTTCGTGGTATTGGTGGGTAGGTTAGGCATTGGAATAATGTGTCGTGGTGTCGAAGGGCTAGGTGTGGCTATCGCCTATGCCTTCAATTTTTGGGTATTCCTTTAAAGGAATCTGGCGGTCGTGTATTCTGTCCGATGCCTGCTTGGCGGGAGGCCATGGCACGACCCTCGGTGACATCAGGGGAGAGCCTATAGTTGGATTAGCATCAACAGGCTCCACCTACTGGTGAATAACCCCCCCCTTGTTTCAGACTCACCCCTCTCTGAGGGGGTCGAGTCAGCTGACGTAATCCAATGCCTAAGCCAATACCTTTTCACTTGCTGTAATCAATAAAGTTGTGGCCTTTTCTTGCCCATTAACCTTATATCACGTGTCCTTGTGTATTCATTCCACTTTGGTGGGGATCGGGTCCTCGAACCACAACACTCACTTCCGAGTTTGCGGCATTCGGGAGTCAAAACATTCAAGCCACAAGGCGTTCGTCAACCAAGGTATGATTGTATATGATGTGGAAAAATGGAAAAAGAAAAAAAGAGGAATGGACAGCTTCATCCAGCCCTACTTCTGACTCACATTGATTTGAGCGCTGGGCCATCTTTTAAAGGGCTGACAGAATGATGTATCACATAATTTGGGTTGTTTTGATCTCTCAGCATATTGTTGCTTTGCTTTGGAAACCACCTACAAGTGATGTTGCATCTAAAACCATTTTTAATTTCTGAATAAGGGGGTCTTCAGCATCTGGCACAAACTTACTGTTACAGCAGCAAAGCGTGTGTTGTGTTTGTGTACACGTGCTTGGCAGGTCTTCTTTGCTCTGATCTAAGCCAGGGCTCACCTAGTATGTGGTCAGTGACTGGAAAGAACAGTTTATCCAGGGAGAAGCGGAAAGCTATATAAACAGCCACCTTAGCAAAGTGACGGGTGCTGATGAAAACAAACGGGCAAAACAGGGAACATTCCTGCCTGGAATCACAGTAGCAGAAGCAGCCTCATATCTCTGGGAGTTTCACTGACAGGGACAGGTTGAAGAGAGGCACTTAGTGATTCATGAGATTCATCCTGATACATGTGCCGCAAGACGAAATTACGTCGCGAGCTCTCGTCTTGCGGTTTTTTCGCTTGACGCTATTAGCGTCCTTAGAGCTATTAACGCTTACGGCTTAGAAAGGCAACAAACGGCAAAGAAGCCCATAGTCGGAAAATGCTTGCGAACGACTCTCAAAATATCGAAACCCCGTCACAATTCTACGTCTGCGATCATTCGTGGACTGACACTCGGAGGAAATCAGAATGTGCTACATACGAAATTCACATTCATGTGGGGTGCAAATTGCGATCAAAGCAATTATTCCACAGGCTCCAGTGCATTTTCCTGTCACTTTCCTTACTGCAATTAGCTTTGGGAGGAAAGTTTGTTGCGCAATACCTCCCAATGAACTACAGTATACTTGTGCGACATGGATGAGCCAGTGTGATGGACTGCTTGGATGCAGAGGAACGGTGGGAGAAACCAGCTGGGGAACCCCCGAGGAAAGCAGGCTCAGAGCCTGGGGATGGGTGGTGGGATGACGATGAGTGGTCAGAGGAAGAAGAGAGAGAAGAGTGGGAGGAGTTGGTGTCAGAAGCTGAAGAGGCAACAGGGCTTAGTGAGCGGGGGTGAGTCTGTGGTAGAGAGCAGTCCAGACTCAGAGGCAGAAGCTGAAGCAGGGGAAGAGGGAGGACAAGAGGCAGAGGTGAGTCAGGCTGGTGAAGAGCCCCTGCTGCTCCCTTCCCCCCGTAGTTTAATTCTACAGCAAGGAGCCTTTTTTCAGCCTGGGGCCACCTTAGCTTCTGTGCAACCTTCCAGGGGCCTCATGCCAGTGGTGGGCAGGGCCAGAGGCAAAAGTGCCAGGAGACCAAATGTCAGTGTTACCATCTTACCATTACGTAGGAGGCTGATTACTACACACAACCCTCTCTTATCTTTCATCCAGGCATATAAAGGTAAAGGTAAACGGGCCCCTGACCATTAGGTCCAGTCATGACCGACTCTGGGGTTGCGCGCTCATCTCGCTTTACTGGCCGAGGGAGCTGGCGTTTGTCCGCAGACAGCTTTCCGGGTCATGTGGCCAGCATGACTAAGCCGCTTCTGGCGAACCAGAGCAGCGCATGGAAACGCCGTTTACCTTTCCGCCGGAGCGGTACCTATTTATCTACTTGCACTTTGACATGCTTTCGAACTGTTAGGTTGGCAGGAGCAGGGACCGAGCAACGGGAGCTCACCCCGTCGCAGGGATTCGAACCACTGACCTTCTGATCGGCAAGTCCTAGGCTCTGTGGTTTAACCCACAGCGCCACCCGCGTCCCTCATCCAGGCATGTACCAGAGTACAAAAACATCCAAGAAGGGTGTGATCGAGTGTGGGCTTAGGAGGGGGAGAATCTCAAGGGCCAGATAGAGACACCAAGAGGGTTCCCCATCCCTGCCCTACAGCGTATTCCTTCTTCTAGCGTGGACAAAAACAGAAATCCAAGTAAACAAATAAACATCTTGTTCTCTCCCCATTTTCTGGGCAGTATGACAGCTGTCCTGCCCCTTGTCACCTGGCTCCAGGAATGTTCCCTTTCCCTCACCCTGTTGAGAACAAAAGATGACCCCCAAACTGCCTGAACAAGAGGTGCATTTGTCTTTATTTTACTCCCTTGTGCACAAAAGCAAACTACCAGCATAGAAATGAGTCTAGAAACAGCCACATCCATCTTATTTACACACTCAGCCTTCTCAGCTCACCGTAGAAAGAGGAGCACACGGTAGTGACTTGAAATTACACACATATATTCAGGAAGTGGCTATGCTTTGTAGAAACGGCAGTGTGAAGGGTTCAGATCCAAGACTCATTTTCAGTTGTAGGCTGCAACACTAGAACAGAAATGGAGAATCCTGCCCCCCCCCTCCAATTCTTGATGACCGGCCATGAAGCTGATGGGAGCTGAAGTTCAGCACCATGTATGCAGCAATCTCATTCCAAAGAAACCAACTCCAGGTAGACCTTGTAACTTCTCTCCACGAGGCTGCTATCTGGGAATTGGTTTCCTTTGCATGCAAAGGAATGATTTCAACAGCACATATCAAGTGCTTCTCCCTCTGCACTGAACAGCTACTGCCCAACCCAACCTGTGCATCTGGGGTGAAAGGGCAAATCATCTCCTTGCAACCTCCTTTCTCTGCCAGAGGAGTCGACTGCTCCCAATTCCTTGCACTTTCCATCGCTTCTTAGGGGCCCCGGGCACAATTTTCCAGCAGAAGACAAGCTCCAGCTCCTCTCTGGGATCGGGCTATTTAAGACCTACCACACCCACACAAGGCCCTGGAAGGAAGCCATGTCTCCCTTTGCACAGGCGTGTGCTGTACATCACTTAAGAACAGCAGCTGCCTGCTGCCAGCCAACGGATCGGGAGGGAGGGGTGGCTGATTAGGACATGGAGTTCCAGGCACCTACTCACATTGCTGCAGCTCAGCAGTAAAGCAGTCAAGTCGAAAGCAAGCAAGACAGAACCGGAGGCTGGAGGAAGACTTGGCGAAGATTCTTGCCTCTTTGCTCAGAACACTGAGCAGCTGACAGTATGCTTCTTCCAAGCGGCTGTTACCAAGGCGGGAGGAGCAAGGACTCGACAGCAACGTGTACAGGGAGAGGCTAAGATCATACCATATAAGCTTGCCCCATTCAGCCTCCACTGAGCTTAAGAGATGGGAATGCTTTGCATGAATAAAGTCCCAGATTCTACTGTTCAGGTCCACCATCACCAAGCAGCCCCACCAGTGTTGGAGACCGCAGCTGGGTTTTAATTTCCCACAGTGCCCCATAATGCTGCTCAGGGGCACGACCGGAAATTAAAATGTCGGGGCACACCCAACCCCTGCCCCAGGGCCTGCAGCAGTGCTGATAAGTCTGTTGGGGGCCACCTGTGCAGAGGAAGGACCACCAGAGGTGACCGTGCTGAAGTCACCTGAATCCCTGGCCTCTCCAATTAAAGGTTCTTGGGTAGCAGACCTGGGGAAGCCTCTGTAAGAGTTGCCGCCAGCAAGCCAAATTAGGATGTACTGGGCCAGGTGGATGACTCAGTGTAAGATAGCTCTGTACAGTGTTATTCCTATTCCAGAGCTGACAATGAGACTTGCAATCCCATGCATCGAGTGAAATTCCCATCTGTGCCATGGGGTGTAAAATGAAGATGTAGGACGGTCGCATCCACACATTTAAAGCATGTTTATGGCCCCCACCCAAATAATCATGGGAACTGTCATTTACCCCTCTCATAAAGCTACAATTCCCAATACCCCTAACAAACTACAGTTCCCAGTATTCTTTGCAGGGCGAGAGCACGCTTTAAATGTGAATTTAAAATATGGTGTGGATGCAACCGTTGTCTCTTTCAGCCATTGGTCCGAAACAGCCTCTTCTCAATCTTGGTTTCTCAGGGGCTCTTGAACTACCTCCCCCATCATCCCTGAACACTGGCCATGCTGGCTAGGAATGATAGGAGTTGTAGTCCAACAACATCTAGGAATCCAAGGTTGAGAAAGGTTGGTCTAGAAATATGGCCCTGTGCAAAAACCAAGGTTTTATAGCAGCTCTCGTGCATCAATATAGGAGATTGAAATGCAGACCCCCCCCCCAGCTTAAATCAAGGGTCTTGGGCAAGAAGCTAGCTGCCCCTGATCCAATTCCTACTGTGTGGAAGTTTAGGGGGAAGGGAACGTTCATCCTCCCTTAAGGGCAGCCTGGCACCTCTTGTATTTCAACACCACAGGGAATCACTTTATTGCCTATTGAGTCGCATTGCCCTGCAGACTCCTGCCTCTGGAGCAGGGTTAGAAGAATGAGATACCCTACTCCAGGCAGTGAAGGCTGGATGCCATGGTGTTTCTCATATTCTCAGTCCATCTCACTAGTGGTGGTGGGTGCCCATTGGGACTGGTAGGGCAGAAGGCAAGGAGACCAACAGTAGGTGGTGCACAGCCACTGACATTCCGAGCCTGTACTGATGGGTCGTACATAAGAAGGCAGGCAGACGGGAGCTGGCTGACGGCAGACTGAGGTTGGTGGGGCAGTGCCCTGTTCGCCCTGGCGGACCAGCTTCCACCATGTCTCACATGGAGTCTGTTCTCTTCCGGGCAAACACAGCAGACACGCTCTTCACGATGCTGAGAATCCCAGTGCCTTTTTTCACGGCCAGTTTGGCCTCACAGATGCGTTCCGCCAGGCTGTTGAAGACCACGAGGGCCCCGTGGTAGGCCTCTGCTGCTGACACCTCGTAGAACTCACAGTCTAAGGAGAGAGCCAGGAGCCTGCCCTCCTCGCTGGAGACCGTGCGCCGGTGGTGCAAGTCTCGCTTGTTGCCCACAATGACAATGGGCACTTTCTCCTGGGCTGGTCCTTCCTTGGCTGCCTTGATGAACTGGATTTTGGGCTGCACACTGTTAAAGCTGGCTCGGTCACAGATGCTGTAGACCAAAACAAAGCCATCGGCCCACTGGATGCGCTTGTCCTCAGAAGAGCTCTCGTCTGTCCGCTCCTGAAAAGGAAGGGAAATGTAAGGGTTCCCATGTCTATTGATTGGTTGCTCTTTGTTACTGATAAAAACAATGCCCTTATTAAGCAGTTGGTCTGCAAATATAAAGCATTCCCTTGGCGGGGAGAGAGAAGGAAAGATGTATCTTCTAAGTTGGATTGGAGAACCTGCAGTTCTGCAATGCTGCTGGACTCAGCCTCAAGCAAGATTGCCAATGGTCAGGAATGATGGGAGTCGCAGCAACATATTGAGCCATCCCAACCCAATCTGAAAGAAATAATAAGAATATCTTCTTCATCACAATTATTGTTTTTCACATATGCAGATTTATTCAGTTTATTGCCTGAAGCTCATGTGACTAAAATGTAATCTAATCAGATGACAAATGAGATGCAATAAAATAACATGAACAAGGCTGGTCTTTCAGAGGAGCACCATAGAATCATATCATCTACATCCTCAGTTTGGTTGAGATCCCATATCAGCTCAAGTCAAGAAACAAACGCCATAGGCCGGAATTCCCATAGTTATGGTAGTCAAGTAGTTCTCAAGAGACTAATCCTGTGCAACAGTCTCGCACACGGCTTTTAAACTTGCTGTTCTCTTGCCAAGAGGAGGCTGCTGTTCCCCTTGTAGAGCAATAATTCCCTGAGCAACCTGGGAAGAGGGATTGATTGTTAAACCATTCTGGGAATTGTAGCTCCGTGAAGGGGATCAACTCTCAGCACCCTTAACAAACGACAGTTCCCAGAATTCTTCGTGGAAAGCCATGGCTGTTTAAAGTGATATAAGAGGGCAGATGGGGCCTTAGAAAGTGGAGTTTTAAACACACACACAGAGAGAGGAATTTGGCACGGAGCTTGTAATTTAAAGGTACTGATCGTCTGCCAGACCTTTGGGAGCTAACTGAGATCAACTGGGAATATTTATATTCTTAACTGTTGCTCACTTTGCATTTGTTTTAAATAGTTTACTTTCTTATTTAAAAAATAACCCCCCCCCCAATCATGGCACTGCCCATGAATCTCTTGTCAACCCTTTGTCATTGCTGTTCATAGATGGAGTATAAGTACTGGAAGTTGAATGAAGGTGATAGTGTGGATAGTTAAGTCCAGTCAAAGGTGACTATGGGATTGCAGCACTCATTTCGCTTTTAGGTCGAGGGAGCAGGTGTTTGTCCACAGACAGCTTTCCGGGTCATGTGGCCAGCAGGACTAAACTGCTTCTGGTGCAACGGAACACCGTGACAGAAACCGGAGCATATGGAAACACCATTTAACTTCCCGCCACAGCGGCATCTGTTTATCTATTTGCACTGGCGTGCTTTAAACAGCTAGGTTCGCAGGAGCTGGGACAGAGCAACGGGAGCTGACCCCGTCACAGGGATTTGAAATGCCAACCTTCTGATCGGTGATAGTGTAGGATAACCCCCTCACCTGCGAGCAAGGGAAATCCCAGATGTGGAAGAGGATCTCTCTGCCTTCTGCTGCCAAAGTGTGGGTGTAGATAGACTCTGGGTGGGGAAAAAAGCATACAGTTCAGGTTTGCCAAAAAGCCACTCCCGATAGCTCTGTTCTCTCGCTTCCCCTCTCTGTGTCTGCTCCTCTGCCACTCCCTTTTGAACCTGGCATTCCTTTCCAGGTGTTAGCAACTGGCAGCCTCATAAAGCAAGAAACGAGAACTGAAAAGTTTTATACAGTTTCGATCCCTGTATGGGACAGCGGCATACTCCTGCACTGCAGGCGGTTGGGCGAGATAATCCTCAGGGTACCTTCTAACTCAACAATTCCATGAATCAAGATTTCTCCTTCCTCCTTAGTGGCCACTTTATACAGCCAAACCTCAGTTCCCAAACACCTCCATTTTGGAACGTTTCGGCTCCCAAAGGACAAAAACCCGGAAGTAAGTGTTCCGCTTTTCTAACGTTTTTCGGAAGCTGAACATCTGACACGGCTTCCGCTTGAGTGCAGGAAGCTCTTGCAGCCAATTGGAAGCCGTGCCTCGGTTGTTGAACATTTCGGAAGCTGAATGGGCTTCTGGAACGGATTACGTTCAACAACCAAGGTTTGATTGTACGCACAAAATGGCGCATTGTGTGGAAGCAGCTACTATGCAGTGTTAGTTATAAGTGGCCTCCTTGTGGCAGCTGAGCAGCAGGCTAAGAATCTTGACCAGCTGGAGGACTGAGAAGGCCCCAGGGAAAGCAGCCTCCAGGTCCTGGTGGGCCCGCATGGGCTTATCTGGCCTTGTTGATGGTGCTACAACCAGTGCCGGATAGCTTAGAGCTGCCATTTTAATTTTCCATAGTGCCCAGGAGTAGTGCTATGTTGGAGCCACCATGTGATGTTAAAATGAGGTCATAGAAAGTTCCCTTATTGGCCCACCTAGCTCAGTACTGCCCACACTGACTGGCAGACTAGGGTACGGGTAGGCAACCTAAGGCCCATGGGCCAGATCCGGCCCAATCGCCTTCTAAATCCGGCCCGCAGACGGTCCAGAAATCAGTGTGTTTTTACATGAGTAGAATGTGTCCTTTTATTTAAAATGCATCTCTGGGTTATTTGTGGAGCCTGCCTGGTGTTTTTACATGAGCAGAATGTGTGCTTTTATTTAAAATGTATCTCTGGATTATTTGTGGGCATAGGAAGTCGTTCATTTTTTCCTTCAAAATATAGTCTGGCCCACCACATCGTCTGAGGGACGGTGGACTGGCCCACAGCTGAAAAAGGTTGCTGACCCCTGGACTAGGGTGTCCAAGCCCTACCTAGAGATGTCAGGAGATTGAATCTGGCACTTTCTGCATGCAAAGCAGATCCACTACAGCATGGAGATCCCAGGGCTGGTTTCACGTTTGGAGAAGCAGGCATCAGCGCAGAGACAGACTCTGGCAGCTGCCTGAGAATCCCATATGCTGCCACTGGTTTTTCCTAGAATCCCCTCACTGGATGGTATTCTGATCTACCCATCCCTTCCTGCTCCACATTTCACGGCAGAAGGAAACAACCCAGCCCTTTGCACAGCATCCATTTTTGCAATTGGGATTTTCTTCATGTTTTTTCAACCATCCAGCCCCCCAAGGGTGACATGAAATTAACAGGCACAAATCTGTCCGTGCAATGATGCAATTATGACACTCACCCATGTCTCCATATTCCCCGATGAACCTTCTAGTGAGAAAGCGCACTGTCAAAGCTGTGAAAAAGAGTGGGAGTTGTAACTGTTATGTAGGACAGATATTGAGATTGGGGGGGGGAGAGACCTTTGTTCTATTCTCAGAAAAACAAAACAAAACCACACCACCCCAGACACAAGCTCAAACCTGCAAATATGAAAGTTATCAAAATTAAGTTTGCTGGATTTGTAGCTGATCTGACAGCTATTCCCCCCTCCCCCCGAAGAGAAAATCTTAAGTTTTACAGAGCCAAAAGCATAATTTTGCACATGGTTTATAACCATGTGCTAATGGCCATTTCCAATTAAAGATGTTTGCACAGTTGTAGGTCACTGCCCCTATAAACATCTATAATTATAGCACAATCCCAATCATTTTTACTTCCACTGAGCTGGTTTGCATGTAATGCTGTGCCAAACCATGGCTTAGAAGAATGAACGCACGAGGAGAATTGCAACCTGCTGAACTCCTCTTCTGGTATTGTTGCCACCATATGACGTGGGCCTAAGCCATGGTTTGGTTTAGCATTCCATTTGAACCCGAGCTTGTGGTTTGTCTCATTCTAGACAAGCCATTTATAGCTAAGGTTTGTTCATTCATTTGCAGCTGACGGTTTGTTTGGAGGAGACAAATCAAGAATCGGGGCTCAAATGATACAGTAAGCCAAATTATGGCTTTGCTCACATAAATGCAGCAGGAGGAGATGGAGGGCAAGGAGCACACACAATCTTCTTTCTGGGAACCTTCACACTTGTGCATTTAGACTAAACCATGGTTTGATGTACATGCATACCAGCTCACTACATTCTGTGGAGCTTGCTCCCTAATAATTGTATTCATGATAGAAGCCTTATTTCTAAGTTTAATTGAATTTTTGTGGAATTTCCTTCATACCGAGTTCCATAACACTTGGGAGCATATGGCTGGGCTGTTATTTTTTCTTTATTTCTTACATTTCTGCTCAACCTGTATTCCACCATAGAACCCAAGGTGACATAAATATAGTTTCCACAGAGTCACCCATCCAGGCAATAACCAGACTCAAGCCTGCTTAGCTACAACAAGATGGTCACTTTGTTTACCTACAGGCCATTTGCTAGCAATGCCTCAATTAACATCCAAGTTAGTATGCAAAAACTCACACACAAAAAAGATGCAGCTATTGACAAATTATAGAATATATTTCATGTATGGATGCAATCATTGTGCTTCAGATTAGAGTTTCTTTAAAGTAAGGCTGCAATCATTTGTACGTCTACTTGAGAGTAAGTCCCATTGAAATCAGCAGGATCTACTTCCGAGCAAACATGCACAGAAGTCCACTGGAAATATATACAGTACTGCGAAAGAGTTAAGAAACAAAAAATAATTTTCAAAAAGAGGACATTTCAGTGAGCTGTGAAATACTGCAATCTTCCCTCTGCACTTCACATCATTTAGCAAATCTGATGAGAGGTTAGCAATTGGCTCATACAACTGGGTCGTAGTGGATCATGCAACTTTTCTCGTGTACTGTAAATATTGAACTCACAAAAAATTGCTGAGTTGTGTTCCACCCTAGCTACCTTTTCTGAAAGGCAAAAGAGAACTCTCCACACGTTAAATTTAAGTTTTGCATGCAGATCGAGTTGAGAAGTCCCCAAAATCTAGGGTTTCTGTCTTTGAGGGGGTGTCTCGCAGCATCAAGTTTCCAGGTTTCCATCGTTTGGCTCACCTTTCGTTTACTTTCTCCCAGTGACAGAACTCACCTGATTTTCCCACGCTGTCTGCTCCAAGGACCACCACATTGGCTTCCACTTTCAGTGGTGAAGGAGTGGGTGCCTCCACCCCAGACTGGTGGTCTGGGGTGAAGCTGGCACTTCTACGCAGAGGGATTCGGAGGACCATTGGTGGATCTGTTCTCACCCAATCTGTCAACCACAGACTTGTCTCTTTGCTGCTTTCCTCTCTCTGTTCAGTCAGAAAGAGAATGACTCCCTTTCTCATTGCAGCTGGAGGAGTGATTTGCATGGATCATACCATTCCTAATAAACGGGAGGGGTTTCGCTCAGGGGAGCTGCTAGGTGAACAGATCCCCAGCTATTAAAAAACAGACCTTGACAGCAATGTAGCAGGCTAATTTTATTCACAATAAAATTGTCAAGAGGAACTAGTGGTGAGATTGACCCCCCCCCCTGCATTGGAGTAGTGGGAGAATCCAGGTGGGGCTCATTCTTTCTATATAGATTTCACCTCCAGTATTTTCCATTTATTATACACAAAGCCCAATATGGGATAAGATGAACCCCATCATGTCTTCAAAGTGCATATGATTGGTATCTAACACTGAGTAAGATTGAGTAAAAATGTGCAAAACAAGTTCAAAATTGTGTTGGAAATGTAAAGAGAAGGAGGGTACTTTTTATCATATGTGGTGGACATGTACATGGGTAAAGGCTTTCTGGGAAATGATATATAATGAACCAAAGAAAATGTTTAAAAATACATTTGTTTTAAAAAAAAACCCAGAAGCCTTTTTGTTAGGAATAATAGGTGAAGACATACCAAGAGAGGATAAAAGACTTTTTATGTATGCAATGACGGCAGTGAGAATGCTACTAGCCCAGAGATGGAAGGAAGGAGAAATACCAACATAATAAAATAGATGGATAATGGTAAAAGATGCAGCAATTTTAAACCTAAACATGGAACCCACGGAGGGAGGGAAGGGGGTTCGAAGGTTCAAAAGAACCTTGTATTTTAATGTTTGAAATGGTTATGTTTTATATGTCTAAAATTATTAAAAACCCAATAAAAATTATAAAAAACAAAGTGCATATGAAGGCCTCTGTTTGAAGGTGTTTTCTGTTTGAAGAGCTGTCTGTTCCAGGGGTTTCCAAGCAGAGGTTCACAAACTTCATTCAGGTGACCCCCCTGTGAAGAACATTTACAATATGAATTCTACAGAATTCAAATCATACTGCAATACAAGGAAGAAGAGAACCAATAACATTTCAATCAAAAATCGCACAGCATCTAGCACAGTGAATTACAGTTGTTGCAACAGGCAGGAAAATTGTAAAGTGGTCCTCCGGGGTCTTCAGCCATTTTCACATGCTTCCATGGTGGGGAAAGTTTGCCAACCACTTGAGGTTTAAAAAAAATTAGGGTTGTGTGTCCAGCTAAGTTCTACTCAGAGTGGACCTATTGAAATGAATGAACCTAACCATGGTGTTCTGAGTAGAACTAGCACTGGACACCACCCAATGAATCTTAAGAAGGGAGAGCAGGCGACTTGAAGTTGCCTATCAACAGTTAACAGCACCTAACAGTAGACTGGTCACCTGGGCACACTCTTGTTTTGCACTCTGGTATAATCAGTTGTGGGACACGGGTGGCGCTGTGGGTAAAAGCCTCAGCGCCTAGGGCTTGCCGCGCGAAAGGTCGGCGGTTCGAATCCCCGCGGCGGGGTGCACTCCCGTTGCTCGGTCCCAGCGCCTGCCAACCTAGCAGTTCGAAAGCACCCCCGGGTGCAAGTAGATAAATAGGGACCGCTTACTAGCGGGAAGGTAAACGGTGTTTCCGTGTGCTGCGCTGGCTTGCCAGATGCAGCTTTGTCACGCTGGCCACGTGACCTGGAAGTGTCTCCGGACAGCGCTGGCCCCTGGCCTCTTAAGTGAGATGGGCGCACAACCCTAGAGTCTGGCAAGACTGGCCCGTACGGGCAGGGGTACCTTTACCTTTACCTTATAATCAGTTGTATTTCTGTTTAAATGACAGTAATTATTTCTAAATCTGCATCTCAACATATAAATTAGGCTATGCAAATTTATAATTATAATTATAAATATAATAAATTATAATTATAATATTTGCAAATTATGCCCTCTTTTGTCCTCTTTTTCGACAACATGTCGCAGGCCACTTTAAGCATGGCATGTTCCAGAATAGGTAAAAAAGTAAAGGTAAATGACCACTGGATGGTTGAGTCCAGTCAAAGGTGACTATGGGGTTGCAGCGCTCATCTTGCTTTCAGGCTGAAGGAGCCAGTGTGTGTCCACAGACAGCTTTCCTGGTCATGTGGCCAGCATGACTATACTATTTCTGGCGCAACAGGACACCATGACAGAAACACCATTTACCTTCCTGCTGAAGCGGTACCTATTTATCTACTTGCATCGGTATGCTTTCGAACTGCTAGGTTGGCAGGAGCAGGGACAGAGCAACAGGAGCTCACCCTGTCGCTGGGATTCGAATTGCCAACCTTTTGATTGGCAAGTCCAAGAGGCTCAGTGGTTTAGACCACAGCGCCACTCGCATCCAGAATAGCACATGCCCCAGAAGCTACAAGGTTATGGTGTTACTTTCTTATTAACAAAATGTTACCTATTGCCTTTGCAAAATTGCTCATAGCAATACAGAAAACTATATCGAAAAAGGATGGATTGAAATAGCTGCAGTAGCCTTTATTTTGAATTCAATTTGGAAGCACACGCTCATCAGGATGGAGGGCACTCCTATACCATCATTATTTTCAGGTGAGATTTAATCGCATCCCAGCAAACTTGGGCTGCACAATTCAAGCTAATGCAGAGCTCTTACGAAACAAGCCAACTTCCCGGCACAGACAGGACTTTGGGCGATAAGAAAAGAGATGGCGTTGTGAACTAGAAAGTGTGAGATGACATTTGTTTGACACAATGTTGACTAATCTCCCCACAAGCAAATCAAGATGTATGTTCATGAAACAGGTCGTCTTAAAGCAACTGGAGAGAGGGGTGTGCAGAAACTTCTGGCTTTTGTGTGGCTGGAATGCAATCTAATGTACAAAGGTAGGAGTCACATCTGTTGCTCCATTTGTGATCGCCTCAACCCTGGCATGCGGACCCTAGAAGGGGACATCGGGCAATGTGACCATCAGGCTGAATAAAGGTTACCTATCCCTGCAGTTACAACAGTGTTTCCCAACCTTTTTTGGGCAAAGGCACACTTGTTTCATGAAAAAATCTCGAGGCACACCACCATGCCAGATGGGGAAAGGTCACTTTTTACTTATGTAAAAAAAAATAGTAACAGCATAGAAGGTAATGGTTATCTCTTTGATGTCTGATGGGAGGGCATTCCACAGGGCGGGCGCCACTACCGAGAAGGCCCTCTGCCTGGTTCCCTGTAACCTCACTTTTCACAGTGAGGGAATTGCCAGAAGGCCCTTGGCACTGGATCTCAGTGTCTGGGCTGAACGATGGTGGCGGAGACGCTACTTCAGGTATACTGGACCGAAACCGCTTAGGGCTTTAAAGGTCAGCACCAACACTTTGAATTGTGCTCGGAAAGGTACTGGGAGCCAATGTAGGTCTTTCAAGACTGTCGTTACGTGGTCTCGGCGGCAGGTAGCAGCGCTCACAGCTTACGGACTGCACCGTGTAACAGGTGTCTGGCCCAGCAGCCTAAGGCGGACAAGCCACTGAAACAGGCATTCAGAATCCATTCATTTCATAAAACCTGCAGGGCTCAATCTCTGTGTTTGTGTATGTGTGTGTTTCTGTTTTGCCCAAGGGTCTGGGGGTGGGAGAGAGCTCTTTAGCATGATGCTTTTAAAACAATTAAATTATCAACAAACAAACCTGATGATACGAATAGCAACGTCAGGTGCTGCCGGGGGGGGGGGGGGAGAAGGGGGCCTACTCGGAAGTAAATACTGCGTCCAGGCGCAATTAGCGCTGATTTAAGGTGCACCAAGACTGCCTAAAAACCTCACCAAAGATATGCAACAAAGCGCTTCGTTGCAGAGGGGAGAGTTTGTGCACCGTGGAGGCTGGAGGGCTTCTATTCTACATGCGGGGGTTGGGGGGGCGAGGAAAATGTGCTCCGTGGGGGGGCGGGGAAGGCAAGAAAAGGAGCTGAGCTCTAACTATAGGCTCCCACGCTTGAGCAGGCCCGACTCGGTGGGGCGGACCACCCTCTCTCCTGGAGGAGGAGGAGGAAGAGGAGGAGGAGATTCCCATCCATGGCGTGGCCTCCCGCGCTCCTGAACGGGAAATCTCTGCAGCCCAAGACTCTCCGCGAGGCAGCTCCTCCCTTCCTGCCTTGAGCCGCCGCCAGCCGCGCCCCCCTCCCCAGTTATCTGCTGCCTGCCAAGCCCCGCCCCTCTTCATTGTCCTCCCCTTCTGTTTATTCCCCTTCCTCCATCCCTCGCTTTTTTCCCTCTCTTTCCTTTTTTAAAAAAATATTTTCTCTTCCCCTTCTTTTTTTCCACCCTTTCTTTTTTCTCTTTCTCCCCCCCCCCTCCCCGCCCTCCTGGGTTAAAGGATTTGAGCAATGGGTCTGGAGGTGGAGCTCGTCGGAGGATTAGCCCGACTCGCCCGCCTCCCTCCCACGGCACACTAGGCAACGTCCGGCGGCACACTAGTGTGCCGCGGAACACCGGTTGGGAAACACTGAGTTACAAAGACCTGTGAAAGCAAATGAGTCTTCAGCGGGTGATTAGGAATGGGCTTTGCAGTAACTGACCCAGTCACTTGTTTTCCACAATTCCCAAGCACAAATCAATTAGCTAAGTAAAATTGTTCATAAACCTATCTGAGCTCGGCCTGTCCTCTCCACTTGTGAGAATCCCATAATTGATTCTGGTTCTTTAGACTGGCTTGCCAGAACTCCTTGTGCAATGGGTAGCATTGCTTACAGTTCTGCTACTGTTAATTATTGCCCATTATCACCACCAAGTACCGGTATTTATTTGCAGGCTGTTAGCAATACAGCAAATTTGTTTCTCTTGTGGTGCTGCTTCTTCTCATCTGCATGCAATTCTAACAGACCATCTTGTATTCACAATCTGTACCACTCTAAATCTTGACCCTTTTTTGCATATTTTTTAAAACCCAATTTGTTAGTCACAGTTTTATGTGTTTTTCAGAATCTTTAACGATGGACCATTTTTTCTGCATTGTTCAGAATCCTGACCCCACAGTTCAAGTTATTGTGCATTTTTTTTTCCCACTTTGGCATTTCTAGGATCTTGAGCTGCAGGCCACATATTAGTGCATTTTCAAAATCCTGACTCCATGGGTCACATTTTTCTATTTTGCTATTGGGGCAGCCATATATTAGCCTGCTTTTAATACCATTTGCATCCGCAAAAGTTTGGGGGCAATCACACAGCTTCATTTCCAATTAGTGTATACTCCAGAACTTCCCACTGAAATCCCGTAACTTCTAATGCTACATATTATTTATTTATTTTTGTCCCCCTTTGGTTGTACTAGCTCCTCTAGACTGGAAACTTGGGGGGGGGGACACATTAAAATGACCTGCTTGCAACATCAAATATATCTGAATGACCCATTTGCAGTATTAAGTCCCTATCTGGAAGCACCAATGATTTTGTTGCTTTCTCATTTTGGAATCATGCTGCTGCTGGATTTGCTTTGTTTAACATGTCACTGCAAAGACAGTTGCTTTATTTCATAAGCAAATGTGATGCAATAAAAACAAGCACTTTCCAGTTGCTTTTTTAAAACAAAAGTATTTTTTGTGGTATCACCCCCCCCCCTTTGCTGTTTTTTGGCTCTAAAACAGTATTTAACGAACCACAAATCTCTGTAAAATAAGGCTTCAAGGTGCAACCGAAAATATGTGGTTGGCATGTCAGAACTTTGATTACCATTCATAAAGAATAAAAGAAAATGCATTCAAGAGGTGAACAAGGCTCTTTCATTGTTTGGGATGTTGAAGGAGGCGTCACCCTGAGTGCAAAATGATGGGATTTATTTTTTTATATAATAATCTTTATTTTCAATTATAATCCAATAATAGCCTCCTTATAGCAATACCAATTTATAATACAATTACCAATATCAATCATGGAACCAAATTATATAATTTAGATAAGGTGGCCCAAATCCGCGTGCAAGAATTGATGATTTTGTTTCTGCATTCCAAAACCTTTATTGATTTCAATTACGTTCCAGTCATCATCATAATCCCTTATACAACAGCTGCAATATTTACAACTTCTATTCGTGTTGACACATTAAGTGATTTATGCAGGGCTTTTTGGGGGGAGGGGATGCAAGGGGTACGCATACCCCTAAACATTTTGTGAATCTTTGTACTTTTGTCCATCCATGAACTATTCATTTCCGATTTGAACTATAAAATGGTGATTTCCTCGAGTCAAAAGGAAAACATCTCTACAGTACACATATTTTTAAAGGAAAAAAGCAATGGATTTATGATTTTAGGAGTGAAGATCTCGAACTGTATATCCTTGTTCTTCCTGTGTGTGACATTTATTCTGTCTGTGGTGTTTCTTCCTGTGCTTGCAAAATGTTATGCCTTATCTTCTGCAAAGCATGTATTGACTGATTTTATTTTTTTTAACTATTTCTGGTGGGTGGGTCGTTGGGCTTCTGTGGGTTGCAAAGCATCCTCTGGAGAACAAAACAAAGCCACGCAGGGAGCACCAGCTTCCCTGGCAGGGCCTGAAACGAGGCCTCCTCGACGGCGCCCTGAGGAGAAAAAAGGCAAAGTCGGCAGCGGCGGCTCCTCCTCCCTCATTTTTAAAAGCCACATCTCTCCCCCGCCGCCGCCGCCTCCTTGTTCTCTCCAAAAGCCTCCCTCACTCGACGGCTCCCTCGCCAAGGAAAGAGGCGGAGCCGCCTGCCGACGCCATTTCCCCGCGCCGGCCTAGTCGGGCCCGCCCAGCGCCGACGCCTCAACTCTGGGTAGGTATCGCCGCGCCAAGGCTCAAAAGGAGGCGGTGGCGGCGAGGTGAGGTGGGAAAGTGCACAGCGCTTCGTCAGCGGTTTCCCTGGGAAGGGTGCCTCTGAGCATGTGCAGGGAGTTCGCGGTGTCCCGCTCCCTCGGGCTTGGTGTGCTCAAGGCTTATTTCCCTGCAGGGGGCATGGAGCCGTTTGTCCCGCCGCATCTCATATGCAGGTCCCCTCCTTCTTAATTTCCTCGACCCTCCCATTGTAGGGGGATTTCTCGGTCCCTGACTGTCTCCTCCTCCAAAAACAAAACAAAACAAAAACACCCCTCAATGCCCCCCCTTTTTTGCTTATGCGACCTGTGCCCACCCCACATTTTCTCGTGGGGTGCTCAAGGGTGACTCCAGCTAGCCACGCGCCTGATGCTTCTCTTTGGGAAAGTCTTTGGGACTTTTGGGCCAAGTTATTACGGAAAAGTTACGCATTTGGAAGTTGCAATTTCTACGTGTTCTGCTAGTGCAATTTTTTTTATAAGGCAATTAAAGTTGCTGCTTATTATTCATTTGTTGTGTTTCTGTCCCACCTTTTTTCTCTCCAAATGAGACATACGTTGTTCCTGACCCCTCATTTAGTCCCTACAACAACTCTGCGAGGTAGGTTAGGCTGACTGTCCGAAGTTCAGACTGTGAGCTTCACGAACGCATGGGGATTTGAACCCTGGTCTTCTAGGGTTCACCACACTGACTATAATGTTGTCTAGCCTTTCTTTAAAAACAGGTGCTGAGCTGCAGATGGGCAAAGCTGGGGTAAGGGAGAAGGGTTAAAATGATGAGATTTATTTAAAAACCTGTTAGATTTCTTTGAAACTGGCTGCTGTTTATGGGTGCTTTCAAGCTGTCACTATTTTCAGGTGTGATTCAGTCATGTACCGGCCAATTTAGGTTGTGCAATTTTAGTTGATTGAGAGGTCTTGACATTTTGTAGTAGTAAAAGTGACAGGAAGATGCACTGGAAGGTGTGGGATGATAATACTTGCTTTGGTGCAATGTTATTCAACCAGTTTCTGGTTGTTATTCAACCAGTGGGGAGATTTCTGTTGCATTTGGGTCCTGCTTGCAGGCTTCCCACAGGCATCTGATTGGCCACTCAGAACATGGTTCTGGACTATTTAAATCTTCGGCCTGATCCAGCAGGGCTCATTTTATATTCTGTATTGTATTTGTATTGTTAACTGCTTTGGAAACTTTAGCTGAAAGGTGACCTAGATATCCAAAAATACATAACATATGCCTTAACCAGTACTTTATTTTATTTTTGCTTGTGCTGTCTACTCTAACTTGGCTTTTCTTCTTCTCATAGCATGTCAGGCATAGAGATGACACTCCTACTTAGTTTTCAGATGTCCTGACTCTTCATTTGCTACCAGCCATGGGTCTGAAAGCCAAACTCCAACCACCAACAGTGGAGGTTCCTGTCAGGGTGACTGTACGCATTCGACCTTTACTTCCCAAGGAACGACTGTATGGGCACCAGACTTGCCTACAAGGTGACCCAGAGACTAAGGAAGTTACCCTTGGGCGCAGCCGCCATTTCCACTTTGACACAGTCTTCACCGAATCCTCGGACCAGGAGTCTGTGTATGCTGCTTGTGTACAGCCGCTGGTGGAAGCTTTCTTTGAAGGTTTCAATGTTACTGTGTTTGCCTATGGCCAGACAGGCTCAGGGAAGACCTACACCATTGGAGAAGCTAGTGTCTGTGAGTTCCATCTTTTGCATGAATAGCATGTCCTGCATTCTCCTCTCCTCTCTACCCAGGATACATGTAGCCCTATTACTTTTTATTGTAAAGGCAGGGACTGTATTGTATGTAAGCCACTCTTTAAACAAATAAGATAAATCCTAACCTGCATCTGAGCAAGTCGACTGTAGTTCACAAAAGGATCTAGCCTCAAGGGCAGGATTTCATAGGTGGGTGGAGCTGCCCATCTGTCAATCACTTGATGACACAGTGATGGCAAGTGATTGTGTGCTTTCAAGTAATGAAGTTGAGACTTTAAAGCACCCAGTGTAGCTGATTTACTCTCTCCAAAAATGTGAAGCTGATTTAAATGTTTTGAGGAAATTTTTCAATCAGGTTTCTAAAAAAGCTTTTGTAAGAATGAATCACTCCAAGCGAGGTAAGAGAGTAAACTTTGGAAGAAGCTTGGTTCCTCAACACCCATACCACTGTGCCACTAGCGCTATCATATGTGTGTTTGTGGCAAGTGGGCTAATAAAGTACAGTCATACCTTGGAAGTCAAACAGAATCAGTTCCAGAAGTCCGTTTGTCTTCCAAAATGTTAGGAAACCAAAACGTGGCTTCTGATTGGCTGCAGGAAGCCCTGTCGGACTTTTGGCTTCTGAAATTTTTTTCAGAAGCAAACACTCACTTCCGGGTTTTGATCGTTCGGGAGCCGATTTGTTCTAGAGCCAAGGCGTTTGAGATCCAAGGTGTGACTGTACTTTTGTGGATTCCTTTTGCAAGGCTGTTGTACAGTCTCTGGTGGGGACAGAAGCATTTTTCAGCTTCTTGCCTTACTTGAGACAACTGGGGACTCTTGGATAATCAGTGTAATATCTGCTGGGATTTGGCTGTCTGGTTTATTGAGTAGATGTGTGTCCCCTTAAAGTGTGTGGGACACACTTTAAGGAGTGGATTGCTAAATTCATGCTGAACTGTTATTGAAACCTGTGTTCTACCAGCAAAGTTGCCTTCTGAATCAGTTTGGTTAAAAGCAAGCAATAACCACCTTCGGTATAATAACTTTCTTCCTGGTGATTAAATTAGTTCCCCACACGTCCATTACAGCCTGCAATTTCCTCCCAACAAATGTGTTTTCTTTGTTGCTTCCAGCTTCCATCAATGAGGATGAGCAGGGCATAATCCCACGAGCCATGGCTGAAGCCTTCAAGATCATGGATGAGAATGACTTGCTGGATTACACGGTCCGCATTTCTTATCTAGAAGTGTATAAGGAGGAGTTTCGGGACCTGCTGCAGGTGGAGACAGCTAGCAAGGACATACAGATCCGGGAAGATGACAAGGGCAATATTGGTAAAAGCGAACAAACAGTTGCTGCTATTGCTCCCTGCATCTTTAAAAGCCTGACTTCTCATTGTAGTTTCAATTGGCATTGCTCCTTTTCCTTGCCATTGCTAGGTGGCAAATTGAGCAGGTAGCACTTGGGTTTGCCTGGTCTGCATTTTGTGGATTTAACAATCTAGCACTTCCCTTTTTACCTCTTCTCCCAAACTGGAGTTTAGTTCCCTCCAGCTTCCCTGGCATGGCTGAAAACTAGGCTTGTACAGGCTTCTTGCCCCAGGATTTGCCTATTGAATCATACATTATTTCAGGATTTGGCTCCCTATACACAGTGATCTTGCTGTGCCATTATTAGCCCGAGTTATTGCTTTCATTGGACGCAGGTGGCGCTGTGGGTAAAAGCCTCAGCGCCTAGGGCTTGCCGATCGAAAGGTCGGCGGTTCGAATCCCTGCGGTGGGGTGCGCTCCCGTCGTTCGGTCCCAGCGCCTGCCAACCTAGCAGTTCGAAAGCACCCCCGGGTGCAAGTAGATAAATAGGGACCGCTTACAAGCGGGAAGGTAAACGGCGTTCCGTGTGCTGCGCTGGCTCGCCAGATGCAGCTTGTCACGCTGGCCACGTGACCCGGAAGTGTCTCCGGACAGCGCTGGCCCCCGGCCTCTTGAGTGAGATGGGCGCACAACCCTAGAGTCTGGCAAGACTGGCCCGTACGGGCAGGGGTACCTTTACCTTTTATTGCTTTCATTACTTAATTAATTAAATGGGTTTTACTTACCCTCTTGTTGCTCAGCTGTTTAACTCACCTTGATGCTTTCATCAGCTGGGGCAGAAAAGCTTCATCAGCTGGAGCTCCCTTTAGCTCTTGGTTTTCTCTCTTTGCTATCCTTCTCGTTGCAGTGCTGCATGGGGTGAAGGAGACCGAAGTGGAAGGCCTGGATGAGGTCCTGAGCCTACTAGAAATGGGCAACATGGCCAAGCACACTGGGGCCACCCACATCAACAGAAAGTCAAGCCGCTCGCACTCCATCTTCACCGTGACCATGGAGCAGCGCCGCAGTGCCGGGCGTCTTACTCGCCTCACCCTTCAAGAAAAGGTCTTGGTTCCAGCCTCTGGCCAGGTTCTTTCCTCCAAATTTCACTTTGTGGATCTGGCAGGCTCTGAGCGGGTGGTGAAGACGGGGAACACTGGGGAGCGGCTCAAGGAGAGCATCCAGATCAACAGCAGTCTTCTGGCTCTGGGCAACGTAATCAGCGCATTAGGAGACCCCCGCCGGAAAGGCAGCCACATTCCTTACCGGGATTCCAAAATTACCAGGTCAGTAGTATGTTGTTCTTTTTATCCACAGTGGCTTGCATTAGGGCACAGTCCTGTGTGTCTTCCTTGAGCAGTTTGCTCATGTCTTGACTGTGCTGTGTTTCCACTTGGGGGGTTCTTTTCTTTCTGTGTTTCCTAATTTGGACTTGCCACTTGGAATCTCTGCTAGTTTTGTCCTGATTGCTGCTTCTGAGGCAGGCTCAGTAGTCGGAATGTTCACTTTTATTATGCTCCTTGTCTGTTCAGCTTCAGCCTTGCTAATGGATGTATAGTGGTACCTTGGTTCTCAAGCTTAATCCATTCTGGGAGTCTGTTCAACTCTCGAAACCTTTCGAAAACCAAGGTGCAGCTTCCGATTGGCTGCAGGAGCTTCCTGCACTCAATCAGAAGCCGTGTCGGACATTCGGCTTCCAAAAAACGTTTGCAAACCAGAACACTTACTTCCCGGTTTGCGGCGTTCGGGATCCGATTTGTTTGAGAGCCAAGCCATTTGACAACCAAGGAACCACTGTACAGTGGTACTTCTGGTTGCGAACGGGATCCGTTCCAGAACCCCGTTCGCAACATGAGCAGAACGCAACCCATGTTTGCGCAGGTTTCGATTGGCCGCTTCTGCGCATGCCCGTGACGTCATTTTGAGCGTCTGTGCATGCGCAAGCGGTGAAACCCGGAAGTAACCCTTTCCAGTACTTCTGGGTCGCCGCGGGACGCAACCTGAAAATGCTCAACCTGAAGCAAATGCAACACGAGATATGACTGTACTGATTCCTGTCATATTCCTCAGGATCCTGAAAGATTCTCTTGGTGGGAATGCCAAGACCGTGATGATTGCCTGCCTCAGCCCTTCCTCCTCTGACTTTGACGAAAGCTTGACCACGCTGAATTACGCCAACCGTGCACAGAATATCAAGAACAGGGCGGTGGTGAACTGCTGCAAGGAGACGGAGCACATGGAGCAGCTGCAGCTGCAGATAAAGAGCCTGCAGAGGGCGCTAGAGCAGCGACACCGCTCCGAGACACGCATCATCAACCGTTCTGAAGCTCCCGTCAAGCGGCCTTCGCAGGATAATGCCACCCGCTTGCATGCAGAATGTAGCCGCTACAGGACCTGTACGGACGCCGCATACCAGCTCTTCATGGAATTGCAAGGGGAAGGCAATCTGACTGTGGACCAGATCCTGCGGGTGAAGGAGTGGTTGTGTGCTGTGGAGAGCGAGAGGAGCGAGCTGAGCTCAGCCTCTGGCTTAGACAGTGGCATTGAGAGCACTTCAGTGGAAGATCAAAACCATAAGGCAGCAAGTTACAAGCCAACTAAGTCTCAGGTACTATTATTCGCTGCTATTATTTTTTCAGATTTCTTAGCCACAAGGGTGAGCCACAACCATTTTTTAAAATCCCATTTTTTTAAAAAAACAAACAAAACCCACACACTTTAAAATACAGTGGTACCTCGGGTTACATACGCTTCAGGTTACAGACTCCAGTAACCCAGAAATAGTGCTTCAGGTTAATAACTTTGCTTCAGGATGAGAACAGAAATCGTGCTCCGGTGGCGCGGCAGCAGCAGGTGGCCCCATTAGCTAAAGTGGTGCTTCAGGTTAAGAACAGTTTCAGGTTAAGTACGGACCTCCGGAACAAATTAAGTACTTAACCCGAGGTACCACTGTATAACAACAATCATATAACCCCGACTATGGTGGCTGCCTTCTAACTTCCTGGTTCAATTCCAAGTACTGTTTTTGACCTATAAAACCTCAGGACTCCAGTACCTTAGGTAGCAAGTGTCACCCTCCTTTCTCTTTGGCAGAAGCAAGAAGACCACATGGAAGGATCTGAAGCTGTGAGAGAAGAACACATGGCAAGGTTGGAGAGGCAGGTGGAGCGTTTAGAGGAGGAGAATCGGGATTTTCTAGCCGCCCTTGAGGATGCCATGGAACAGTACAAGCTGCAGGTATCACTTAGGCCATGTGCAGACTTCCTCTCTTGTGGGCACAATGGTGATCTTCAGACAGAGAAATCCATATTTGCAGCCAGATTCTTCTTGTCCTCCCTTTTACTTTCATTAAGGTTTCGTGCTCTCTTCTTTCTTCACTCCACTAGGAAGACAATTGGTTCATCTTTTGAAAATGAGCCCACACCAGCATTTTTACAGGTCACCTTTCCAACCTTTGAGTTTCGGGATTTTTGCTTGCAGTCTTCGTTCAGCTAAGCTGTCACTGGATGGGGTACCCAGCAGTATCTGCTGGGCTCTTAATACATGGAAGAGTCCATCTTCTATCATCTTGTGTATTGTTACTCTAAGGTAAAGGGACGTGGGTGGCGCTGTGGGTTAAACCACAGAGCCTAGGACTTGCCGATAAGAAGGTCGGCAGTTCGAATCCCTGCGATGGGGTGAGCTCCCATTGCTCAGTCCCTGCTCCTGCCAACCTAGCAGTTCGAAAGCATGTCAAAGTGCAAGTAGATAAATAGGTACCGCTCCGGCAGGAAGGTAAACGGCGTTTCCGTGCGCTGCTCTGGTTCGCCAGAAGTGGCTTAGTCATGCTGGCCACATTACCTGGAAGCTGAACACCGGCTCCCTCGGCCAGTAAAGCGAGATGAGCGCCGCAACCCCAGAGTCGGCCACGATTGGACCTAATGGTCAGGGGTTCCTTTACCTTTACTCTAAAGATGTTGTTAGAATCCAGCCTAGCCAGCAGTCCAGGATGATGAGAGCTGCAGTTCAACATCTTCTGGAGGGCACCACATTGACTACCCTGTGAGGCAACCAAAACTTGTTTCCCGCTTCCCCCACAGAGTGACAAGCTGCAGGAGCAACATGACATCATCTGCAAACTACAAACATACCTGCAGACGGAGATGCCCAGACTTGGTGTTCCTGAATTGCTGCAGAATGTCTTCTTGGTGCAGCTTGACCAAAGGCCTCACACAGCTCCTGTGGATGCTGCCCAGTCTCACCACCGGCTTAGGCTAGCCCGTGATAAGCACAGCAAGGTTTGTGAGCTGCCTTGGGGTATTCTATCATGATACATTGAGTTTTGCTTCCTCTTGAGTGTTGTATAGGAACAACCTATTTCACTGCCCACCAGCCCATCAATTTAAGCAAATTCTGCTACAGTAGAGTTGGATGTCCTGGAGATTTGAATTTAAAGTGGTGAGAGATGAAAATACCATATTGCTTTTATTTGAGGTGAGGCAGAGAAGACAACGTAGACTTTGTGTGTAGAAAATATTTCTGATGCAATGTTTTTGGGAGGGCTTTTCCTTCATTACTTTTCTTCTCTCAACAACTTTTCGTGTGAAATTGGGAGGTGCTTCCTCACACAGTTTTAGCATAACTCTGGAGTGAGTGGGAGGAGCCTCCCAGTATATCATTTGTCCACCCACTGAAAAGAATTAACAGCACAGTAAGTCTAATGCAAGACCATGCTGTAGTCTAAACCACTGAGCCTCTTGGGTTTGCTGATCTGAAGGTTGGCGATTTAAATCCCTGCGACGGGCTAAGCTCCCGTTGCTCTATCCCAGCTCCTGCCAGCCTAGCAGTTCGAAAGCACGCCAGTGCAAGTAGATAAATAAGTACTTCTGTGGCGGGAAGGTAAACGGCGTTTCCATGCACTCTGGTTTCCGTCACGGTGTCCCGTTGCGCCAGAAGCGATTTAGTCATGCTGGTCACATGACCCTGAAATCTGACTGTGGACAAACGCCGGCTCCCTCGGCCTGAAGGCGAGATGAGCGCCGCAACCCCATAGTCGCCATTGACTGGACTTAACCATCCAGGGGTCCTTTACCTTTTACTTTTTTGCCTAAAATATTAAGAAGCTATTTGCGGATCACAGGTATCTTGTGTGTGCTTTTACTGGATATATCTGCCACAATTACATTTTCAGGTAAGGGAGTGTCGGGGTAGAAAACGGGTTAGATAATCTGGTGAACCTGTTACTCTTTCAGACTTCCTTGAAGGAGTTGGAGCTAAGGATCTGAAGTTTCGCCTTCAGAGGACAAATAATTTCAGGGTGCAGGCATCACGTCAGGGACATTTCACTTATTATCCCTTTCTCTCCTCTAAACAGCTGTGCAGTGCCCCAACCCTCATTGGGAAGAACTTGTTGGTGTACCGCCAAAGACTGCCTTGTGGCTTGACGAGCAGCTTGGAGGCTAGCAGTACGATACAAACACAGGAGATTGACAGGACTTCAGAGCAGGCAGCGGAGCCATCTGTAGAGAAGGGAGACCGTGAACAGATAAGGTCCCTTTACCGACGCAGGTGAGTGAAGAGCCTGATACCGGACTTACAGACCCACCTACTTCACATGTCTCTGGTTCAGTCTCTAGCATCTCTACCTGGCTATCTCTTCCTGAGTGAGACTTTGGAGCAGTGTTTCCCAAACTTGGGTCCCCAGTGGTTTTTGGACTACCAACTCCCATCATCCCTAGCCAGCAGGACCAGTGGTCAGGGATGATGGGAATTGTAGTTCATTGCTAGGAGATGCGATGAGGTTGAGGGAACGTTCTTTCATATGTGTTGGACCTGTAAAAGGGTAAAAGAGTTTTGGGAAATAATCCATAATGAATTGGAAATAACCCATAATGAATTGGGGAAAAATGTTTAAAAGTACTTCTTTACACAAAAAAGAGTCATTTTTTTCAGATGGAAATTCTCAGGTGTCAAAAACGGTTATTTATGTATTCCACTACTGCAGCCCCAGAATAAGAGAACAAAAAGAACATACATTTAGAGAAGATTGGAAAATGTTTCTTGAACGTATGGAGGGGGGAATTGTGTACACTTGAAAATGTTGACAGCATTAAGATAAATTCAACCGTGTAAATAAGTTACGATGGATGTAATAATGGACTACGGAATGGTTTAGTTTGTAAAATATGCAGGAATTTATGATATGCAAAATGAACCATGGAAAGAGGAGAAGGGAAGTCATTGATATTTTAAGGATGTTTAAATGAGTATTCTAAATTGTAAAACAGAATTTAATGAATATATATAATGGAAATATAGTTCAAAAAGCTGGAGACCCAAGTTTGGGAAACACTGTTTTGGAGGGATACTGCTTGTGTGGAATACTTTGCCTTTCTGCCAGACTCAGCGACTTCCTTGTATCAGTGTCTGAAATTGGAATGTCTGAGGCCCACCTCTTGCAAAGACCCAGCTAACACAAGTGGGAGAATATTTTATGCATGAACTGCCCTTAACAATATAGGGGAGTGTTACTGACTGGCTGAGCAGGCATGCAGATGCTGCCAGCTTGGAACAGGGCAATTCAGATGATAAAATAGAACATTAGCCCTGTTGCAGAAAGGATGTTCCTCTGTGCACAAAATATTCTATTTTTTGTTGAAATATATATAAAAAAATGTCCAGTGGCACCTTAGAGACCAACTAAGTTTGTTCTTGGTATAAGCTTTTGTATGCATGCACACGAAAGCTTATACCAAGAACAAACTTAGTTGGTCTCTAAGGTGCCACTTGACAATTTTTATATATATGCTACCTACCTGATTCTATTTCTTGTGTGATCCCTTAACTTTTATTCATCAAAGGTGATGAATTCCGTACAACAAAGGAGAAACTGACTGAAATGCCACCAGCTTTACTTCTGTCTGGACTCAGGGTGGGGTGTGTGCTTTATAATTTCGACTTTTCTCTCCCACATTGCTTATGCAAGCCCTCTGAATAAAGTGACCAATTTGGTTGCCGTTCTAGAAATGGGATCTACAGCTGCAGCCAGGAGGAGGTTTCGGACAAGAGGAGCAGCAGACAATGGAATAAGAGCAATCCAGCCCTGATCCAGGAGGAGCCTCCAGAACCCTCTAGAGGTAAGAGGAGATTCGGTTGCCACTCTCAAAACTCTAATGTGGAGCCAGTGTAGTGTAGTGGTTAAGAGCGGTAGTCTCGTGATCTGGTGAACCGGGTTCGCGCCTCCACTCCACATGCAGCTGCTGGGTGACCTTGGGCTAGTCACACTTCTCTGAAGTCTCTCAGCCTCACTCACCCCACAGAGTGTTTGTTGTGGGGGAGGAAGGGAAAGGAGAATGTGAGCCGCTTTGAGACTCCTTAGGGTAGTGATAAAGCGGGATATCAAATCCAAACTCCTCCTCCTCCTCTTCTTCTTCTTCTTCTTCTTCGTCGTCGTCTTCTTCTGATAGCAATATACCGTATTTTTCGCACGATTGGACGCACCGGACCATAGGACGCACCTAGTTTTTTGCGGGGGAAATAAAGGAAAAAAATTTCCCCTTTATTTCCCCCCCAAAAGCAGGTCAGGGAAACCGAACCAGGTCGAGGAACAGCGGGATAGTGGCGCTGCGCCTCCCTGCTGTCCCCCGAGCTTGTGGGGCTGGCTGATGTCTGCCTGGCGCGCGGGGCGCTCTGCTTCAGGGCGCCCCACCCGCCGGGCGGCAGGCTGCTATCCGCAGCGTGGGGAGCCCTGTGGGGAACTCCTGCAAGGCTCCCCACGCTGCGGATGTCTGCCTGGCGCGAGGGGCGCTCTGCTTCAGGGCGCCCCACCCGCCAGGCAGCAGGCTGCTATCCGCAGCGTGGGGAGCCCTGTGGGGAATTCCTGCAAGGCTCCCCACGCTGCGGATGTGTTCCCGAAGCGCCTGGAGCTCTGCTTTCAGGGCGCCCGATGCTCCGGGAAGCAGGCTGCTATCCGCAGCCTAGACACGGCTAGCGGAGCGCTAATCCCGAAGCTTGGGGCGTGCGGAGCTCAGCGCGCCCCAAGCTTCTGGGCGCCGGCAAGGTCTCCGCTAGCCCTTGCTGGCGCCCAGAAGCTTGGGGCGCGCTGAGCTCCGCACGCCCCAAGCTTCGGGATTAGCGCGGCGCTTCGCTAGCCCTGGGAGAGCCCCGCAACGTCGCGGGGCTCTCCCAGGGCTAGCGAGACCTTGCCGGCACCCAGAAGCTTGGGGCGCGCTGAGCTCCGCACGCCCCAAGCTTCGGGATTAGCGCGGCGCTTCGCTAGCCCTGGGAGAGCCCCGCGACGTCGCGGGGCTCTCCCACGGCTAGCGGAGACCTTTCCGGCACCCAGAAGCTTGGGGCGCACTGAGCTCCGCACGCCCCAAGCTTCGGGATTAATGCAGCGCTCCGCTAGCCGTGGGAGAGCTGGGTCTCCCACGGCTAGCGGATAGCTTCCTGAAGCCTGGAGAGCGAGAGGGGTCGGTGCGCACCGACCCCTCTCACTCTCCAGGCTTCAGCGAAAGCCTGCATTCGCTCCATAGGACGCACACACATTTTCCCTTGCTTTTTAGGAGGGAAAAAGTGCGTCCTATGGTGCGAAAAATACGGTAAAACCAGGACACCCTGGATGCTTCAAGCTGTACCTGGACTAAGCAACTCTTTGTTGTTGTTGTTGTTTGTTATTAAATTCAATTTTTCACTATACATTTGACTTCAAAAATTAATCATAATCATCAACATTTAGGATTCCCTGAATCCTTAGACTTCCCTCCACCCTTTCATGGTTTCCAATATGAAACTTTTTCTGCTGCATCATATATTTTCTCAATTTTTCTTAAAATAATCCCTATTTACCTTAGTTTTCAATACATTACAAGTGTTACTCAAATCCTGCCAAAGTTTTTAGTTGTTTACAGTGTTCTCTTAAGGAAATTGTAAATTTTGCCCATTCTACCTGGTTTCTGATTTTCCCTGTAATTTTTGCCATTTCAATGTAGTCCCTTATCTTCATCAACCATTCGTCTCTGGTCGGAACTTTATCTTCTTTCCATCTCTGGGCCAGTAGTATCAGTACTGCTGTCATTGCATGCATAAATGATAGGTTCTGCCCCTTTGGTATCTCTGCATATAAAATTCCTAGTAAAAAATGCTTCTTTCCCCCCACAAACATTATTTTAAACATTTCTCATTATATATCCTTTCCCAGAAAGCTTTGTTATTTTGCACATCCACCACATATGGTAGAACGTGCCTTCCTTCTCCAGTATACATTTGAAGCAGTTCTATACATTTTTGCTGATTTTGTGGATTTTAAATACCAACGATACATCATTTTCATATAGTTCTCTTTCAATGAACAGCATGCTGTAAATTTTAAGTCCTTCCTTCATAACTTTTCCTAATATGAAAATTGGATATTATGCCCAATATCTCTTTTAGGCAACTCTTGCCTTGGTGCCTTCTGTCCCTTCACCTATATGGATTGGATTCTTGCCAGGGCACTTCTATATTTTGCTTCTTTTTTCCACAGAGGACTGCAGGAGACCAGAGCTGAGCAGCCTTGGAGAAGGCTTTTCAGGGAAGGATTCAGAGTGGCGGCTGCTTCAAGCCCACCAGAAGATCCGTGAACTGGCAATCAACATCCGCATGAAGGAAGACCTGATTGTGGAACTCATCAAGACAGGTGAGGAGCACTCTTAAGTAGAGACGTAGCTTGGGTGATTGACTTGAGGATAGGGGAGTTTCTCCCTTTATATATTCTCAGAACAACTTATATATGAAGAGTTTCCCCCTTTATATATTCTCAGAACAACTGGAAGGGTGTGTGTGTGTGTGTGTGTGTGTGTGTGTGTATATATATATATATATATATATAAATATCTTGGTTGTATGGCTTGAGGAAAAGCATTCACCTCTCTCCAAGCCGAATGAGAGCCAATTGGCAGTCTTCTGCCGTGTGTATGTGTACAGCACATAAAGCCAGAAAAGAATTACTTCGGTTTTCTTTCAAGAGTAGTAGCTGTATTGTTTTGTGTTCCCAAAATAAATGCAGCCTCTGTATTACTTACTTGAGAGCATCTCTATCAAACCCAGAGGGACTAACTTCTGAACAGGCTTGCAATGAACTGGAAATTCTTATCTGAGGTATTCTTAGTGAAAATTGAAGCAAGACAAGTTTTTGGTTTTTTTTATGTGTCAATATTTTATATGTGAAATACTCTGGTTAAAATATTCTGGTTTTATCCAGAACACTTTTGTCTCTGGCTCTGCCCCTTCCAGCATGCAGCCCCCATAAGAAAAAAAGGTTGCCCACCCCCTGTGGTAAAGGGATAATTAATTCTTATCTGTGTCATGCTTCAATAACAAATATTTACTGTCATTCAGCCTTCTTATTCCTTTCCATTCCTGTTCCCCAGCACAACTTCTGCTCATCCTCTCATTTTCCTGGTCTAACTTTCCTTCTCTATTATTCCCTTTAAGAAATGATTTTTATTGGTTTTACAAAATTAATCTCACAATTAACAAAATTAAATTATAAAATCAAACAAGATTCTTCTGAATCGTAGGACTTCCCTCCCTTGTATAGCTTAATCAACTGCATATTATAGTTCATCCAAATTATAATCCTCCAAAGTATCCAAAGTCTTTGTAACATTGCAAGAGTTATTCCTTCTCTCTTATTCCCATCCTGGCTTACAGTTACTATTACATCCTTACCAAACACTGAGCTGATAAGACTGCTGCTGTCACATCTTCCTCTTCCTAATTGCTGGTGGAAGAAGAGATAGGAGTCTGTCTTGATTTTGACCTGCAGTTGATCTCCATGAAGTTTCCCTTCCCCTCCTTAAAATTATTTTGTTTTTGCTGCTCCACTGACCCCCCCCAAAAGCCCACCCCAGGTGCCAGACTGGCCTTTTGTGGTGATGCCAAGTGTCTTGTGTCTTTCAGGGAAGCATGCGCAGACGATGAACAAGCAGTATTGTCAGAAAATCCGTGACTTGGAGCAGGAAGCAGAGCTGGTTCGAGTGGAATTAAGTGACGGCCAGAGGCAGCTTTGGGAGCTGGAGGGCAAGGAGCCCCGAAACCCCGCAGAGAAGCGGAAGCTGCAGGAATACCGTACCAAAGTGGCAGCAGCTCAGAGCAAGGCAAAGGTGAGCCCCGGAGCACTACTATATTGGGGGTGGGGGTGGCAGAGTGCCAGGGTGTCTCAAAAAGGCCTCTTCCATTTTGAGAGCCTCCTTTTCGGTCCCTGGCATTAGCTGTCCTGCCTTATTGTCCGTGCTGCAACAGATCCTGCAAGAGAAGAAGCGAGCGACGGAGAAGCTGGCCTCTCTCTCTGCTCAGAACGAGAAGCGCTTGCAGGAGCTGGAGAGGAACGTGCAGCTGATGCGGCAGCAACAGGGGCAGCTGCAGAGGCGGCTGCGGGAGGAGGTGGACCAGAAGCGGCGCCTGGAGACAGAGATGCACAAAGGGCAGCACCGTGTCAAGGTAGGGGTGGCTGGGCTTCAGTGCCAAGGCCAGAGAGTATTCAGGAGCAGCGATGGCCCTAGCTGTTCACAGAATTGTAGAGTCGGAAGGGACCGTTTTAAAGAGAACTACACTGGTTGCTGGCATATTCTGACCTCGGGTTAAAGAGGCTAGTTTTAACCTTGAAAGCCCTTCAAGGCTTTGGGATCCAGGGACCCCTTGTATCAACCTGTGAGAGAATAACATTTTCCACTGAGGCTCCTCTGGCTGCCACAACCAGTAATGAAGCAGGTGGAAACAAGAGAAGGCTCCTTCATTGGCAACACTCTTGCTATGTAATCCATTCATTTGGTACCCATAAAAGGTAATATAAAGGTAAGGTGAAGGACCCCCTGGATGGTTATGTCCAGTCAAAGGCAACTGTGGGGTGCAGCGCTCATCTCTCTTCAGGCTGTGGGAGCTGGCATTTGTCCACAGACAGCTTTCCAGGTCATGTGGCCAGCATGACTAAACCACTACTGGCACACGGAGGACTGAGACGAGTGCCAGAGGGCACAGAAACACCGTTTACCTTCCTGCTGCAGCGGTACTTATTTATCTACTTACACTGGTGTGCTTTCGAACTGCTAGGTTGGCAGAAGCTGGGACAGAGCAATGGGAGCTCACCCTGTCACACAAATTTGAACCGCTGACCTTCCAATTGGCAAACCCAAGAGGCTCAGTGGTCTAGACCACAGCTCCACCTGCTTCCCATTTGGTACCCAATTACAATTCGGTACCCATATTATCTTTGTCACCAGGTTAAGACTTTTTTATTTTCTGGGGCATTTTAAATGAATTGAAGTTCTAGTTTTAATGGAGAAGAACAGGGCTTTTTCTGGCACCTCTTTTTCTAGAAAAATAGCACTGGAGAACAATATACATAATAAATATAACGACCTGGAACTGAGTTACCCATTAGGCTTTCTGAACATGTTTTGATGTTATGGAGTCTTTAGAAGGTGGTCTGTTGTTTGGTGTTGTATCTTAATTGCCTAGTTGCATTTTGTGCCATGAGCCACCCTGGGATATGTTGCTATGAAGGGTTGTGCATACGAAATTAATGGACTATGCAGAATTGGACAAAATGACAGGAAGGATTCGAAACCTGTGGGTCCAGAGATTTACAGAAGATTGGAAGAAGTATACGAATTATTTGAAGAGCAACTGTAATCAGCAAATTACGCTAGTAGGACTACAAGAAGTTTTGTAAGGAGAAATATACGAAGTGTTACAAAGTAGAAAAAGATGGAGATATTGGCTATGAGTTTGAAATGTAATAGGGAAGATAAGAAATGCAGACTGAGAGATTAGATTGGGAAATTTTCAGACAGGATTGATGGAGGTCAAAAATTTGAATAAGATGTAAAAGTATGTTTAATTACTGTTGAAAATGTTATGTTAAAAAAAACTTTAAAAAATTAAAAAAAATGAAGGGTTGTGCATAGAAATGCCTTTAAATAAATGATGCCTTGCGGGTCTGACAGTTTCCCCTCCACTCATCTTCAGGAGTTGGAGCTGCAGCATGAGCAGCACCAGAAGATCTTGCGCATCAAGACCGAGGAGATAGCAGCATTCCAAAAGAAGCGCAGGAGTGGCAGCAATGACTCCATGATCAGTTTAGAACAGCAGCAGGTAATGGGGCAAGGGCTGGTGTGCCTTTCATCTTCAACAGCTCGAGGCTGGGGTGTGAAATGCCCCTGCAAAAGGGCAGGATTGGGAGCAATAAGAGATGGTGCTTTTTGAAGGGTTAATACAGTTGTACCTTGGTTGACGAACACTTTGCGAGTGGAACGGTTTGGCTCCCAAACGCCTCAAACCCTGGAAGTGACTGCTCCGGTTTGCGAACTATTTTTGGAAGCCGAACGTCCGATGGGGCTTCCGTGGCTTCCGATTGGCTGCAGGAGCTTCCTGCAGCCAATGAAGAAGCCCCACTTTGGTTTTCAAACGTTTTGGAAGTCAAACATACTTCCACAATGGATTCCATTCGACTTCCAAGGTACGACTGTATAATAGTTAAATCGTTTCCTGGGTTTACAAGCCTTGTCTTTATTTTATTCAGTTGTGTTATGTCCTGAAATTGGGGGAACATAGGAAGCTGCATTACACTGAGTCAGAGCATAGCTTCATTTAGTATTGTCTACTCTGGCTGGCAGTGGCTGTTTAGGGCTTCAGGCAGGAGTCCCTTTTGGGAGATGCCAGGGATTGGACCCTCTGACAGCTTGAGTCCCTCTGACAGTCTCTCCCTCTGCCTTGCCTTCCCATCAGAAAATCGAAGAGCAGAAGAAATGGCTGGACCTTGAGATGGAAAAAGTCCTTGAGCAACGCCGTGCCTTGGATGAGTTGGAAGACGAGCTGACCAAACGGGAAGCCATAGTGGCCAAAAAGGAAGCGCTCCTTCAGGAGAAGAATGGCCTTGAAAACAAGAGACTCCGCTCTAGCCAGGTGAGCCTTGGGTGTGGAAGGTGAGCTGCTCGTTGCCATTATTTTCTTTGTGACAAGTATAACATAATCCATTCTGAATGTTTTTTCTTAGTAAATCTGGGGTGGGGGAGTACATAAATGAAGCTTACATTAACGAATCTGTTCATGGAGAAGCTGTAAACGAAAAGAGGAGGAAACACTTCATTGCAAAATTAAAGCTCATTGACTTTTTTGGGGGGGGGTTTAGTTTACAAGTCAATATTTATAGGATTAGGGGACGCGGGTGGTGCTGTGGATTAAACCACAGAGACTAAGACTTGCCGATCAGAAGGTCGGCGGTTCGAATCCCCGCGACGGGGTGAGCTCCCGTTGCTCGGTCCCTGCTCCTGCCAACCTAGCAGTTCAAAAGCACGTCAGAGTACAAGTAGATAAATAGGTACCGCTCTGGCAGGAAGGTAAACGGTGTTTCCGTGCGCTGCTCTGGTTTGCCAGAAGCGGCTTAGTCATGCTGGCCACATGACCCGGAAGCTGTACGCCAGCTCCCTCGACCAATAAAACGAGATGAGCGCCGCAACCCCAGAGTCGGTCACGACTGGACCCAATGGTCAGGGGTCCCTTTCATATTTATCTATAGGATTGGGCTGTAACAACCAAAATATTCTGTTGGCTGAAGGAAGTGAGGGGTGGGGGTTGCTGCTTAGGTGAGGTGCAGTGGGGAAAGGTGGCTATATGGTGGCAGCAGCCTAGTTCACTCCCTTGGTCATTGTTTGGTGCCCACCTAGCAGAATGAGGCCTGTGCAGACTCCTCCCCATTACAGTGTACAGTGGCTGCTGGGGACGAGACCTGAGGAGACAGTTCCTCCTTGGTTTTCGCCTTTCACAACTCATTCCACTTCGGGGGCTGTGTACACACACAGAATTCTCCGCTGAAATCTGCATGAAGGCAGAAAATTGCCTGAGGGTTGAAGGCAGGTGCCCCCCCCTTAGGATAAATAAATAGGGTCCTCCTTCGGGTACAGGGGACTCGATCAATGCTAGCTGCCATCCTCCCTTCAAGAAGATGCAGTGGGACCTCGGTTTAAGAACTGTACTGTTTACAAACGATTCGGTTTATGAACTCTGCAAAACCGGAAGTGGTGTCCCGGTTTGCGAACTTTACCTCTGTCTAAGAACGGAATCCAAACAGTGGAAGGGCACCGGTGGCAGGAGGCCTCATTAGGGAAAGCGCGCCTCAGTTTAAGAACAGTTACGGTTTAAGAACGGACTTCCGGAACGGATTAAGTTCGTAAACCGAGATACCACTGTAATTGTTTTATGCTATGCCAAGATGTGTCCCCTCTTTTCCCTTATAGTTGCTATGCTGTTCCTTCTTTGAATAGGGTTAGCTCTGTTAGCTCCTTCCCCTGAGGAATTAAAACCAAGCGATGGTTGGTAAACCACAAGGACATAAGCTGCAACCGGCGGACTTGCCATCCTAAGGATCTCCCCCCCCCTTCCCCATCCCTTGATTCTTTCTGGCTTAGGCCCTGAATGATGACATCATGCGGGTGTCCAGCCGCCTGGAGTACCTGGAAAAGGAACTGACGCAGAAGAATGGGCAGCTTTGCCACAGCAGCACGCATGATCAACAACAGATCCGGCAAGAAATTAACAACTTGCGGCAAGAGAAGGACCAGTTGCTCAAACAAAGGCTGGAGATAGACAACAAGCTACGCCAGGGCACCTTGCTGTCCCCAGAGGTTAATTGGCAATTTTTTCTTGTTGCAAGTATAGTTGATGTACTAGAGATGTTTTGTTTTTCCCCCTGTGATTTTTGGTCCTTACTATAAACAGTCTACACAGGTATATTTCAGGGGGAACTTGCTCTGAAAGTGCTTTGAAAACAACCTATGTGCATCTTCATTTATTCATTAATTTATGATGCACAGTTCCTCTCATTTTTAAATAAGGGTGCGATTGCCATGAGTGCAGAACACAACTGCTCGATAAGGTGGAACAAATGAGCCTCCATGGAGTGCGGGAATCTTAAAACTAGGTCATTAGTGGAACTGTGACATGACACCCTGGGTTCATTTGGGAGGAAGTGTGGGATGCAAGTTTAATAAAATGAAAATATATCTGGTGTCTTGACTCTTGGGGCATTGTGTCCATGAGTAGCATCCTATTTCTTTCCTAGATGCTAAATTTTAAACTCAGGTCCCTGCTTGGCCAAGGACTTGAGCAAAAAGGCTTTGAGCAAATTATGATCAGCCTTTGTACGCCAAGTGGGAGTCACACTAAAACTATATTTCAGGTTTATGAGAGCAGCTAAATGTAAGGACTGGGAACCTCTCTGCCCAGCAGAACTAAACATTATTAGTTGCAAAACAACTAAAGTTATCCTTTCCCTCTCAGTAGTTTTCTTGCTTTCTTCCTCTCCATTCAGGAGGAACGAATCCTTTTCCAGCTAGATGAAGCCATTGAGGCTCTAGATGCTGCCATTGAATACAAAAACGAGTCAATCACTTGCCGGCAACGTGTTTTGCGGTCCTCAGCCAGTCTCCTATCCCAATGCGAGATGAACCTGATGGCCAAACTCAGCTACCTCTCATCCTCCGAGACCCGGGCACTGCTTTGCAAGTATTTTGATAAGGCAGGTGTTGAATTGTGGCTCTGCTCCGTGGAGCAATGCACTGTCCAGTATGAGCACATCAGAGGCCCAGGCCTTACCCAGGGGTGCAAAACTTTTAGTCAAGTTTGCTCTCTCTCTTTCCCTCCAAACCAGCTCCTCCCTGCAGCTTTCAGAGCAAAGCTCCCTCAATGGTTTTCCTGGTTCTTAAAATATAATAAATATAATACCTTTATTGTCAATGTACAACCTGTGTACAATGAAATTAATCGAGCCTCCTCCCCCCACCCACAAACACTCAATCTCATTGCACTCTGTGTGCTTGTTGCACAACACACCAACCCCAAAAGTCAGTTGCACTATATTATTTTCCATTCAGCAGCCTAACAGCCCACGGATAGAAGCTGTTTTTTAGCCTGTTGGTACGACTGATTATACTTCTATATTGCCTGCCTGAGGGTGGAAGATTAAAGAGGGGCTGGCCGGGGTGTGAATCGCCCCTGAGAATTTTTCTCACTCTCCTACGGCAACGATCCCTTGCAATGTTATCTAGCGGGCTCAGGGGCCACCCATGATATCATGTGCTGTATTCACCACCCTCTGTAAAGACTTTCTGTCCATGGCTGTCAAGCCAACGTACCACAATGTGATACAGTATGAGAGGACACTTTCTATTGTGGACTGGTAGAAGGAGGTCATCAATTGTTGTTTAACATTGCTCTTTCGCAAGACCCTGAGCAAATGGAGTCTCTGTTGGGCCTTTCTGACCACCTGAGTTATGTTGATTTTCCAAGTGAGGTCTTCACTAAGGTAAACTCCCAGGACTTTAAAGGAAGAGACTCTCTCCATACAATTCCCCCAATATACAACAGGGCTAGTTCCCCTCTCTTCCTCCAAAAGTCCAACACTGTCTCCTTTGTCTTGCTAATATTTAGGTGCAAGTTATTCTCTAGGCACCATGTAGATACTTTCTGAACCTCCCCTCTGTACGCTGATTCATCTCCACCTGTAATTAGACCCATTGTGGTAGTATCATCTGCAGACTTAATAATTGCAGTAGATGGATCAGATGAAATAGTCATATGTCTACAATGAGTACAGGTAGGGACTCAGCACACATCCCTCTGGGGTGCCAGTGCTGAGCTTCAGGGAGGTAGATGTAAAAACAAGCACAATACCTTAAACCCGCATTTGGACTGCCACCATTTTGGGCAGCAGGTTGCATAGGAAGGGAGCAAGAAGGCACCCCTACACATAGAAAACTAGGATGTCTGGGGTTAGACTGGAACCCTTCTCCCTGAAATACCCATTCTCTGTGTGAGGGGATTTTTCAATTATGTTTTGCACAGAGGAGCTTCCAACCTCCATATGAAGTGGCGGTCCAATCCAGACCCAAGCAAAGTAGTCTTATATGGCTTCCCACATTGTCACTGGGTCACCTTTTTCACCTTCATGAATCTGTCAGTGCCATACGCATACGTTGTTTCAGTTCTGTTAACAAGATGATGTCTTAGTTGCAAGAAGACCATGCAGAAAGTTTGTGTTTTTGGCCAGGTGGTGACTCTGCGAGAGGATCAACACAGACAGCACATTGCCTATTCCGAACTGGAGATGCAACTGGAGGAGCAGCTGCAGCTGGTATTTTGGCTGGAAGTAGCACTGGAGCGCCAGTGCTTGGAGATGGACCGCCAGCTCACCTTGCAGCAGAAGGAGCATGAGCAGAACATTCAGCTTCTGCTCCAGCAGAGCCGGGGTAACAAAGGGCCTTTATAGTCATTGGCGGATCACTTGGCATGTTAAATCTCCAGTTGGACAAAGTTTGCCGGTCCTCAGCAGACTGCGTATTTAATTCCCTTCTCTCACACAGAGCACATGGAAGAGGGGCAGGCAAACAGCAGGCTTCAGTACCAAGGAAGGATCCAGGCATTGGAAAAAGAATTGGCGCATTACAAGTGGGCCAACCACGAGCTGACTCAGAAGCTGAGCGTGAGCGATTTGGAGGGACAAGGCAAAGGTGAGGATAACCTCGGCTCTGGAGGTTTAGTCTTTTTATCACTGCCACTGACGACGGTTCAGATGTGACTATTCTACACAGCAAACCAAGCACATAGTCCCAACCATGTTTTGAAAGGCAAAGCGGTGGACTGGATTCCTTAGAACAGGGATGAGCAACCTTTTTCATTCAGAGGTCCAAATTCCTGTGCTGAGTGGGGTCAGGCAAAAGTGGGCAGGGCATTTGGAGTAAATTTCACCTTAACACTGTAAACTAGTTTTTGCAGGCATTTTCTGCTCTCCATCCAAACAATATACATTATCAGAATTCAAGGACACACGCCAGCCGCACAAAAACACAGTGAAGCCGAGCCACTGTGTGGTGTGGCTTGGGAGGGCTGTATTTGAACCTTAGACCTACCCGTGCCTTAAAAGTAACAGAGGCCAAAATAGACTGGTGCTTGCTGCCAAAAAAAATTTAAACCTGAAAACAGGGAAGTAGAGGTGAATGAATGGGGACCATTGTTGTTACACCTACTTGGTTACAGTTGGAAATGATAATTAGGCTTTGGAGAACAAGGGAGTTATGGACTGGAGCAGCATTTGAAGAGAAGTTGCTCAGACGGTGGCTCTACGTGGTTGTTGTGGGCCATCAATCTTAAAATGTTTTGGAACCTGCTTTGTGGAGAGATGTACACTGATGTTGGAAGGGCTGTAGCACATATGCCCAGCATGGAAAAATGCTCAGCTTTAATCTTCAGGTAGGGAAAAGGTGAAATCAACACAACCCATTTTAATATATTTTTTCTCCTAAAGCCCTGGCATTCTTAAAACCAGCACTGTTATGAAAGCCATTTGCAGGGGAAAACTAGTTGAGCTTACCAGCACTGTATTTATGAAAGAGATGGGGCCCAGTCTCTCTGAAGCCATATTGACCAGGGCTACATTATCAATCTCTGCCATCAGAAAAAAATATATGTATGCTCTTGACTGCTCCACAGCTTTTTCTCTGAGCACGTGAACAGAGATTGCAGAGGTGGACAGACTTCAGGCTTACTTTGGGTCTTTTATTAGCTCCCAAGATCCACAATCCAGAGGCAAATGCAAAAAGACATGCACTAAAAATCAAAAGAATTCTAAGCCCAGGTCCCCCATTCCCTGGCACGATGATTGTCCCTGGTTAGGTCAAGCTTTCTTCGCTTAAGTAGTATAATTTGGGTGTGTTGTTTAATGGTAGTAACAAAACAAGTGGGATTTGGAAACCCTTGCTGATCTACTTCAAATCACCCAGAGGTCTCTCCTGCAGTATCAAAGTTGGGCAGAAAGCAGGCAGTGTTGAGCTCAATGAGCAAATGGCTTAATTTTACTATACTGTTGGTTTTCTCTGTACAGGGAATTGCCAATTTTTTGGGCCATTTTTGTTCATTACACAGCACAGACCCTAGGAAATTACTGTCTAAAATGTTCTTCTCTTCTCATATAGGTATGGAAAGAATCACTTGTGCAGCAGAGGACAGACCTGGTTCGATTAGAATACATGGTGACTTTAGTGCGAGTAGCATGTTGGATCCCGTGCAGATAGAGCTCTCTGAAAGAACCCACAGAAGCGGTGATGAACCCCGGGACCTGGTGCATGCAGCTTTGCCATCCACCTGGAGGCGGTCTTCATTATCCAGTGCCAACACCTTAGTACCGGAAGACTTTTGCCAGAAAGAGACAGACTTCTTATCCAGAGGTGGCCAGATCAAGGAAGCATCTCTGCCACTGAGCCTAGCTCCTCTGCTGAAGTCTCACATGGAGCTGTACAGGACTGGGCTGTCATATCCAGAAATCATTGATGTCAGGAAAAACCCATTCTAGGTCCCAGCTTCTCCCTGCTACTCTTGCTCAAAGCTTGAGGGCCTACAGAACATCTAAAGTGTATTGTTACAAGTTGCTACAAGTAGTAATTGATGGCTATGCTTAACTTAAGGTGCAAATTAGCCTTCTGCGATACACTAGAGAGGGGTTTTTGGGAGGGCAGAAAAGCATTATGTCAAGACTTTTTCCTCTACAGCAGTGACTTTTGTATTTAGCTGCAGTACCTCCCAGAGGGAAGACCACTACCTCTGGCAAAACGCCTGTCTCTGGAGAGATAGGAAAGTCAGAAATATTTTCTGCTGTAGGCCTAGAGACATGTAAATAGTTTAACTAGCCTTTTATACTGTAGCTTCTAATAAACTAGAGTAACTTTTATAAGGGCTTGAAATACATTGTTTCCTTCCTGTTCACAATTTAACCAAAAGTATTACTATTTATACTCCCTTCCTAGCAGTATTCAAGTACCATACAGCTTTGGAGGGTAGACTGATACTAATTTCAGTTAATTTATGAGCTTTAAAACCTAACAATAAATATTAGTTTCCTTCGTTTCTTGGCAAGGAAGATGTGAAATTGTTTTTTGCATGGTACGTAAGAGATACCCAGTTCCCTAGTATTTAGCTAGCACAAATAAAAGTTTCAGTACCATAAGAGCAACTTACCATATTATTTATTTTACAAAAGTACTTTTTAAAAGCAGTCAGTTTCACCCATCATTTAGTCCCTTTAGTGCTGAAACCCTGGGAGGAGCCCTATGATGACACGCTCATAGCTTAAATTTATATGGAGACACTACAGCTTTTCCTCACAGAACACAACTGTGAGTTCATGAGCAAGAGGTGCTTCCATTGTGGCTGGCAATATTATCTTCATTTTGCTTTTAAAGTCATCCAAAATGGCTTTGTCGAGCTCCCAAGTATGTTCACCATCTTTTCCCCAGGTTCAGCTGAGCAGCCTTTTCCGTGAGTAGGTCCTCCTGATGGAATGTTGTCTCAGGGTTGTACTGTGAAAGGGGGAGAGTTCTTCCTCTGCAGCTCCAAATGCATCATTGTTGTCTCCTGTGTAGGAAAGCAATAATATGAAAAATACTGGCAGGCATAGACAGGAGAGGCAAGCAGTTGTAAGCCAGCTATTTCCCTCCGTGGAACTTTCCGTGAGAGAGCAAAATATCGAATAGCTGGTGAAAGAACCCAAAGCAGTTTAAGAATATAGCCTTCATGTCCTGTTCTGCGAGAACCTAAAGGGAACTGGGTATTTTATTGCTACAGGAAGGTCTTACAAGAACCATTGGACTATATATGTGTGGGCAATTTGGCTCTTTGCAGTTCAGGCTTCTTTTGAATACCACTCGGGTTCAAATAAACTGCATTTTTTACCTGTGGGCCATTTCCTCAGGGATGTGGTGTGGCCTTGATAGAGCAGCGGGGACTGCGTCAGTGCCCGAAGCCCAGTAGCAGAGATTGTGCTCTTCCCTGAAGACGTTGGTGGAGTCATACCTAGGAGACGTGACAAAAGATATTAGACACAAACCCTGGTCAGAGGTTCCAACACTTCTGGTAGCTATGCAATATTCATATGTGCAAAATGGCAAAAATAGGGCTTGGGTTAAGGTGAATAGATTAATCAACTACAGCTTGATCCTTTGAACAGTAAGTGCAACCTTCTGTTTATTCTAAAATACTGAAGGAAAGTTATGGCATATCTAAAGGACTGGTCAACATTTTGGTAATATGCAAATTGACTGTTTAGTTATCTGCCTTTAATAAATTAACAGAACAATCCTATGCAAATTTACTCATAAGTCCCACTATGCTCAATGGACTCTACTTCCAATGGTGTGCATAGGACTGCATCTTAAAAACATCTGATCCACTGATAGCCCTTGACACAAGATGTGTGTTGCCCCAAAACTGCTGGGGGGAAAGAAATACCACTAGCTCATTAGGGAAGCAATTAGACTTGTTTGTTAACCCTGGAAATTGCAATGCAGATTAATGGTGCTGTATAAATTTGGCATAATAGTGGGAGTATTAATTTTAAAAAGACAGTAGTAAATTGAAAGTTCATAAAAGCAGAGCTGGAAGAGATTAAGTGATTCAAGGCCCTTCTCAAAGGCATGACCTTTGGATCTACCATGCCACAGTCAAGCAGGTACACTGTTGAATGGTTCCTGCAGCTGGGATTTTTTAAAGACTGAGCCTTGCTTGGTGTGTTGGTTGGGCTGGCTAGAGGGTAATTCTAGAGCAATAAAGGTATGTGTGGAAAGATGCAAAGGAGCCTTTTCTCTGTTTGTATCCTCTACTCTGTTCCTTTTCACTGTAGCTGAATTTCAGTCCAAAATTACCTGAAATGCTGAAGACCTCTTCCTCTTCCAGTATTGTCTTGTTTAGGGACACTACACCTTTTCCTGTACTCAGTTCGGCTGCATACACTACCGCGTTTGGGTTGCCTCTCTTTGCGCAGTGCCTTTTTTTCACTTCCTGGCTGACTTCCTCCTCAGGAGACATGTGGCCAAAGGGCCTTTTTCTGAACTTTAGGCCAGGGGTCCCTCTGCAGGTGCTCTCGTCTCCGCTGGGCTCTGCATCGCTGCAAGGCGACTGGTCCTGAAGCCTACAGATGCCTTCAAGTTCAAAGTCCCCCAAAGGCAGTGCTTTATTGACGCCAAGGTCAGAAGCTCTAGTTTCCCCAGCCACCTCCACGTGCCTCTCGCTTTTGCTGCAGCCCACAGTGGCCCTTTTCCTTCGCGGCCAGTCCTTGATTGCTTCAGGGGTCACTTTCTCTTTATGCTTTGGAGAAGGTGTCCAGGCAAGGCCAACATTGCCCTGGGATGGGGAAGTAGAGTTGGGGGTGCAATGAGTTGGAGTGTACGACTGACATATATAGGTCTGCCCCCCACCCCCAAACTTCGCAGGGGTACTGTGAGCAGATCGATTACAAGATGGCGAGATGGAGACGGTTTCCAGTTTCCCAGAGTGCCTGCCGCACCAGGTCACGGAAAGATCCCCTGCAGCAAGATCACTTTCATCTCCTTTGGGCTTTCCAGCCTGCAAATGAGACTGAGGATCCATAGCTGGCCCAGAGCCAACCCTTTTAATTCGGAGCTTGGGCAGGCCAGAAGCTTGCATCTCGAGCTCAATCTCGTAAGTCCGTGGGCTCGTTGCCAGAGGCAGAGTGTGAGCAGTCCTAGGTGTGCTGAATGTTGCCCCCTTCTCGGGCTTCCCCAGCCGCGCTGCAGCCTCCCGCTGCCTTCTGTCTGGGGTGTGACGCAGTGAATAGGCACTCGAGCCAGACTTTGGGGTTTCGGGCAAGGAGGCCTGGTCACACGCAGGAGGGCTCTGGAGGAGCAGAGGCTGCAGACTTACTGCCTTCTCCCCTGGCAAAACTGTACCTGGACCACCACCTGCTTCAGAACTGCCAGTGGCAAACACATTGGTTAGAGAGGAAGCATCTAGGCGCTCGCACAGAACCACAGCATCTGGGAGATGCATGTGGTCCTTTGTGGAGAGTTCAGGAGACAGGTGTCTTTCTAACCCCCTCCTCTTACTTGGAGTCCTCACTCCACGTCTCTTCACAGAGGGGGTGCTCTCTGCTTTGGTTTTAGCAGAAAGATTCACGTCGGTATAGCACGGATGCTGCTCGGCAGGCAGGCAGGCAGGCGACTGGAGGGCTTTGGCTGGGTACATGCTTGTGACTCTCTGGTGTTTCAAAGGAGTCTTTTGGGGAGTACAAGACTTCCTGCGCAGATCCCAAGTCCCAGTAGGAGAAAGTGTGGATGTGGCTATGGCATTTGGGGGTGGGCTATATGGCAATGAGTTAACATCGGGCATCAAAACAGGATCACCAGGTGGGGAAAAGGTTTCACTAAGCTTGGTGTTCTTTGGACTTGACGGTTCTGAAAGTCTGCCTCTGAATACCGCAGGTGTCACTTCTGACACCGGAGAGTCCAGCTCCAATGCTGAAAGTGGCTCTGTAGGTTGTTCTGCCTCAAGAGGCTGTTTCTGAGCAGAAGCTGGAGAGGCAATTCTCCAGGCAACTCTCAAGGACCGCCTTGGGGACTGCAGTTGTGAGAGCCACGTTCCTGGTGAATTTGATAGGACTGGAGAGAGCAGAGCAGCTGCCGAACAGGAACCACTTGCAGGCGAAGCAAATACATCATCAGGCACCTCATCCCCTGCCTGCATTCCAGAAGTTTGCTGCTGTGCTGCCTTGTGCGGGGAAGAAAATATTTCCTTCATCAGAGCCGTGCGTGCAAAACAATCCCCCTTCTTTTCAGTGGCTTCAGGCAAGGACTTGCTCTTCTGTCTAGAAGGTGAGAAGAGATTTCCCAAACTTTTGGCTGCACTATGCTTTGGGGCTCGGCTCTTCTGGGGGGTCTGCTGTAGCTTCTCCAGAACAGTTCTTCCCGGTGTGTTATTAGGGGGACTTAAGAGCTTCGGGGAAGACCGAAGGGTTGCTTTCCTTGGTGTCTGTGGAAGGAGAGCGAAAATGAATAACTGCTTTTGTCTAGGACTACAGTAACAGAACAGACTACATGTTGAGCTTAATATCATTTCTACTTACAGAATCACTTATGTATTTGACTACAGTGGTGCCCCGCAAGACGAATGCCTCGCAAGACGAAAAACTCGCTAGACGAAAGGGTTTTCCGTTTTTTGAGTCGTTCCGCAAGACGAATTTCCCTATGGGCTTGCTTCGCAAGACGAAACGTCTTGCGAGTTCTTGCGAGTTTGTTTCCTTTTTCTTAAAGCCGCTAAGCCGCTAATAGCCGTGCTTCGCAAGACGAAAAAACCGCAAGACGAAGAGACTCGCGGAATGGATTAATTTCGTCTTGCGAGGCATCACTGTAATGACATTACATATTAAGGCTGTACACTAGAAGTGGGAAATTAAAGTGGCATGTAGACTAGATAAGTAGGTATGGAAAGAAACATAAGACAGCAATTTTACCTGATAAACAAGCTCACTGGAGGCTAAAGTTTTTCTTCTTGTTCTGGGTGAGCCCATCCCTTCAGAACCAAACACATCGAGAACTGCTCCAAAGAGAAGGCTCTTTGGGGACTGAATGGCTTTTTTCACAAGAGGAGATGCCAAGCCTGTAAAACAAAAAGATAGCAAACAGTCCATACAAGTGTCAGCTGCTGTAAGCTCAAGCTTTTAAGGCAGCATGTTCCTGGCTACCCACATTGGCATGAACTAGTTAGTAACTACAAACCAAACATTTCCAACTTGTAGATGTCTGACTAAATGTATGACTGACTTGCTACGGTGAGAGACCGTGCCATACAAACCTTGGTCTCTGCGGTGACAAAGTGGAATAATTACTTTCAGCAGCAACAACAAGTGGCAGGTATCTCCTACAACTGCAACTGGAAGGACAAGTTAGCATGCAGGGACAGGTTAGACCTCCCTTTTACTATCTGCTTCAAATTGCCCTCTATCATGTACAGTGGTATCTTGGGTTACAGACGCTTCAGGTTACAGACTCTGCTAACCCAGAAATAGTACCTCGGGTCTTTGCTTCAGGAAATTGCGCGGCAACGGCAGGCCCCATT